ACATGTTCGGAGTCTCGAGTGGACCGAGAGCGAGATCAGCGCCTCCGCGGACTACGCGGTTTGTGTTTACGCGTACGACGTCGACGGCGACGGCGACATGGACGTGCTGTCGGCGTCGTACAACGACGACACGGTCGCGTGGTACGAGAACGACGGGTCGCAGTCCTTCGCAAAGCGGATCGTGTCGACGCTGGCGGACGGCGTTTGGTCGGTAACGGCTCTCGACGTGGACGGCGACGGCGATGGCGACGTGTTCTCGGCGTCGGAGAACGACGACTCAGTGGTCTGGTACGAGAACGACGGCTCCGCGTCATTCGCGCGAAACGTGCTCTCCTCGACGACGGAGCGCGCGGTCGACGTCGACACGATGGACGTGGACGGCGACGTGGACATGGACGTCATCACGGCATCGTTCGGAGACAACGCAATCGCATGGCACGCCTCTGAGTGCAGTGGGTCGATCCCACCGACTGGATTGCCAACGGGCGCGCCTACTTCGGTGCCGTCGTCGTGTCCCTCTTCGAGTCCCTCGAATCAACCGACATCGGCGCCGACGTCCACGCCGACGAGCGCCCCGTCGCCTTTGCCGAGCGCCGGTCCGAGCCCTTCGCCGTCCGCGGCTCCTTCGACGCTTCCCTCCTCGCATCCCTCGTCCGTGCCGACGGCCGTCCCGACGTCCGCGCCGACGAGCGGGCCTTCATTTCTCCCGAGCGCTTGCCCTTCCAGCTCGCCTTCGGCGCATCCGAGCTCGAAGCCGTCATCGGCGCCGTCGGCCGTGCCCACGGCCGCTCCGACCTCTGCGCCTACCGCGTGCCCGACTGGAACTCCCACGGGATCGCCCTCGAGCTCGCCGACGAGCCCGCCGAGCTCGGTGCCCACGGGCTGCCCCTCGAGCACACCGACGGCGATACCCGCGTCCACGCCGACGCCGCTGCCCAGCGGATCGCCCTCGTCGTCACCGTCGAGCCGTCCGTCCTCGGTTCCCTCGGCCTCGCCGAGCTCCGTGCCGTCCTCCAGCCCGTCGTCGCTACCGTCGGCGTCTCCGTCGCCCGCGCCCTCGTCGGCGCCGTCCAGCCAGCCATCGACGCGGCCGAGCTCCGCGCCGACGGCGGCGCCGTCGCCGATGCCGTCCAGCGTGCCCTCCGCCGTCCCGACGTCGTCGCCCAGCGGCCTGCCGTCCGCGCTGCCGTCCGTGCCGCCGACGGGCTCGCCGTCGTCCAATCCGAGCGCCGGCCCATCGACGGCGCCCACGGCGTGTCCGACGAGCTCCCCAAGCAGCGTCCCAACTTCCGGGCCCACCGCGCCGCCCTCGAATACGCCCAGCACGTCGCCGTCGCCCGTGCCGACGGTGCCTCCGACGTCCGAGCCTTCGTCGCTCCCGACGTTTCCTCCGACGTGCGCCCACATGGCCTACAACGTGCAGAGCTCGGTCATTTCTTCGTCCGCGAGCGGCGTGACGTCTTTATTTCCGGTGGACATCGACGGGGATGCGGACTCGGACATCGTCGCGAGCCTGTTCAAGACGGACGCGATCGCGTGGTACGAAAACGTCGGCTCGTCGACCTTTACGTCGCGCTCCGTCGCGTCGTCGGTGGACGGTGCCAAGGATGTGTTCGTGTACGACGTCGACCGCGACGGCGACTTGGACGTGCTCTCTGCGTCCGGCCTCGACGACACGATCGCGTGGTACGAGAACGACGGATCCGAGGGTTTCACGCCGCGCGTGATCACGGCGTCCGCGGATAGCGCCACGTCCGTGTCCGCGGTCGACGTCGACGGCGACGCGGACGTGGACGTCCTTGCGACGGCTGCGGTCGACAACTCGCTCACGTGGTACCAGAACGACGGCTCCCAGTCCTTTACCGCGAGCAGCCTGTCGACGTCGCTGACGGGCGCGTACGCCGTGTTCTTGGCGGACGTCGACGGCGACGGCGACAGCGACGTGCTCGTCACGGCGGTCGGTATCGATTCGGTGCGCTGGTTCGAAAACGGCGGCGAGAACATGTTCGGGGTCTACGAGTGGACCGAGCGCGAGATCAGCGCCTCCGCGGACTACGCCGTGTGCGTGTACGCGCTCGATCTCGACGGAGACGGCGACGTGGACGCGCTGTCGGCGTCGTACAACGACGACACGGTCGCGTGGTACGAGAACGACGGGTCGCAGTCGTTCGCGGAGCGGATCGTGTCGACGTTGGCCGACGGCGTGTGGTCGGTGACGGCGCTGGACGTGGACGGCGACGGCGACGCGGACGTGTTCTCGGCGTCGGAGAACGACGACTCGGTGGTGTGGTACGAGAACGACGGCTCCGCGTCGTTCGCGCGACGGGTGCTGTCTTCGACGACCGAGCGCGCGGTCGACGTGGACACGATGGACGTGGACGGCGACGTTGACATGGACGTGATCACCGCGTCGTTCGGAGACAACGCGATCGCGTGGCACGCGAGCGAATGCGGCGGGACGCATCTGCCTTCTGGGGTTCCCACGGGTGTGCCGACGGCTGTACCGAGCTCGAGTCCAAGCAACGCGCCTTCGAGCGTCCCGACGAGCCCTCCGACATCCGTCCCGACCGCGCTGCCCACGGCCAGCCCGTCCTTCCCTCCGACGAGCGCTCCCAGCCCGCTGCCGTCGACGACGCCGTCCACGGTGCCCACGCCCGTGCCCAGCGAGGAGCTCGTCTGCGCGCACATGGTCTTCGCGACGACGGGCGCGAGTTCGATCGCGACGAACGTCCAGGGCGTCACGAGCGTCGCGGCCGTCGACGTGGACCTCGACGGCGACCTCGACGTCGTCACGGGCGCCTACATCGACGACGCCGTCGCCTGGCACGAGAACGACGGCGCCCAGGGCTTCAGCCGGCGCGCCGTCTTCGGCTCCGCGGACGGCGTCTACTCCGTCTTCGCGGTCGACGTCGACGGCGACGGGGACGTCGACGCGCTGTCGGCCGACGCGCTGGCGAGTACCCGCGTCTTTTTTCCGAGATGTGAGAGATGATCGGAGCCTTCTCTCTCTAGCTCATTAGGCGACACACCTCGCCTACCCTCTTAGGCGAACACGGTGGCCTGGTACGAGAACGACGGGAGCCAGTCCTTCTCGCGGCGTCTGTTGACGACGACGGCGACGGTCGCGGCGTCGGTCGCGGCCGTCGACGTCGAGGGCGACGGCGACGTCGACGTCTTCTCCGCGGCGCTCGTCGACGACGCCGTCGTCTGGCACGAGAACGACGGGTCCCAGTCCTTCACGGACGTCGTCCTCTCGACGCAGTGCGACGGCGCGCGCGAGCGTCCGGCGAAAGGTTCTCCGTCTCACCCCCCTCGTAGGCGCGTTCGACCTCTACCTCGCGGATGTCGACGACGACGGCGACGCGGACGTGCTCGCGGCGTCCATGCTCGACGACACGGTGCGCTGGTTCGAGAACCACGGCGAGGACATCTTCGGCGTCTTCGAGTGGAGCGCGCACGTCGTCGCGACGACGGCGGACTCGGTCTTCTCCGTCTTCGCCATCGACGTCGACGGCGACGTCGACACGGACCTGCTGTCCGCGTCCTTCGACGACGACGCGGTCGCGTGGTACGACAACGACGGCGGCCAGTCCTACGTCGCGCGCCTCGTCTCGACGCGGGCCGACGGCGCCTGGGCCGTGACGGCCCTCGACGTCGACGGCGACAACGACGTCGACGTGTTTTCCGCGTCGGAGAACGACGACTCGGTGGTGTGGTACGAGAACGACGGCTCCGCGTCGTTCACCGCGCGCGTGCTGACGTCGACGGCGTCGCGGCCCGTCGCCGTGAGGGGAGCGGACGTCGACGGCGACGGCGACAACGACCTCATGTACGCGGACTACGAGGCGGACTTCGTGGGGTGGATCGAGTGAGGAATTTCGTCTTTTTTTTTGTCATTTTTTTGTCATTTTTTTTTTTCGTAGGTCGCGGTGCTCGTCGACGGTGCTGCCGTCGCCGATTCCGAGCGGGGTGCCGACATCGGTCCCTTCATCGGTTCCGTCGTCGAGTCCATCGTCTCCGCCTTCTAGCGTGCCCAGCTCGGTGCCTAGTGCCAGTCCATCTTCCCTGCCGAGCGGCGTGCCGACCGCCGCGCCTACTTCGGTGCCGTCGTCGTGTCCCTCTTCGAGTCCCAGCAATGTGCCCACGGCGGTTCCGAGCTCAGTCCCGACTGGTTGTCCATCCGCGATGCCCTCGAACGGGCCCTCAAGCGCACCTACGAGCGTTCCTAGCAGCCTGCCATCGTCGCTACCGAGCGCCGGTCCTAGTAGCTCGCCGTCGGCAACCCCATCGATGAATCCCTCCTCGCATCCCTCGGCCGTGCCCACCGCCGCGCCGACGTCCGCGCCTACGAGCACTCCGAGCGGATCGCCTTCGGCACCACCTTCAAATGTACCCTCGCCGGTTCCTAGTGCGGTTCCTAGCCCTCTCCCCTCTTCGGCGCCCTCATCAGTGCCCACCGGGCTTCCCAGCGTGTCGCCATCAACCGTGCCGACCGCGGTGCCCACGGCTCCTCCGTCGAGCTCTCCGTCGAGTTGTCCCACCGCGACGCCCTCGACGTTGCCATCTGAGGTGCCCACTGCAGTGCCCAGCAGCGTGCCTACCGCCGCTCCTTCGGCGTCGCCCAGTCTCGTTCCTTCGAACGCTCCCACGGCCTGTCCTTCGGTCTCGCCCTCGTTTTCTCCCAGCGCAAGTCCTAGCGGCGCGCCTTCGGCCCATCCGAGTTCGAAGCCCTCGTCGGTGCCCTCGGCAGTGCCTTCGGCCGTCCCCAGCTCTGCGCCCACAGCTTGTCCTTCGGGAACTCCTTCGGCGACGCCATCGAACGCGCCGACCTCAATTCCCAGCTCCGTACCGACCGTCACGCCCTCGAACGCGCCGACTTCGACGCCGACGTCGGTGCCGAGCGCGACTCCGAGCGGGTCGCCCTCGTCGCCGCCGTCGAGCGCTCCCACATCGACGCCTACGGCGCCACCAACGTCGAGCCCGTCGTCGCCACCGTCAAGCGCTCCAACGGCGGCTCCTACGCCTGTTCCGAGCTCGCCCCCGACCTCGACGCCGTCCGCGTCTCCGACGGCGTCGCCGACGGCCGCGCCGACATCATCGCCGACGTCGAATCCCACGGCCGCGCCCACGGCGTCGCCGACGTCCTCACCCACGGCGTGTCCCACGGCCGCGCCAACGGCTGTCCCCTCGACAGCTCCAACGCCCTCGCCCACGGCCTGCCCCACCGCGACGCCGAGCGCGTCGCCGACGGCCGTCCCGACGGGGTTGCCCACGAGCGCGCCTTCACCGAGTCCGTCGTCGTCTCCGTCGCATGTTCCGACCGCCGTGCCCAGTTCCGTACCGACAGCGCTTCCGTCGAGTTGTCCTAGCGCTGGTCCCAGCTCGTCGCCATCTGCGGCTCCCTCGACGCTTCCGAGTGGAATTCCGTCTGCGATACCGACGCCCCCGCCCAGCGCCGTACCGACGTCGACACCGTCAAACGCCCCGACGGGATCGCCCACGAGCTCTCCGACCGCGATTCCGTCGCCATTGCCGACGAATTGTCCCACGTCGAACCCTTCGGCGACTCCGTCGTCGAATCCGAGCCCCGTGCCGACGGCCCAGCCGACCGCGTCACCGACCGCGTCTCCGACGGGCGCGCCGACGTCGACGCCAACGTCGGCGCCCACGGCCACGCCCACAGCGCCTCCCACAGCGTGTCCGACTGCCACTCCCACGTCGAATCCCACGGCCGCTCCTACGCCTACGCCCACGTCGTCGCCCACGGCTACGCCTACGAACGAGCCCACTTCGTGTCCGACGGCGAATCCGTCACCGGCGCCGACGGCCGTGCCGACGTCCGCGCCGACCAGCACGCCGTCGTCGCTGCCGAGCGCGGGACCGAGCAGCGCTCCGTCATCGCATCCGAGCTCGAATCCTTCCGCGGGGCCCACGGGATCGCCCTCCAGCGTTCCGAGCAGTGCGCCGACGGCCGCGCCGACGGGCTCGCCCACGAGCGCGCCGACGTCTTCGCCTACGTCTTCGCCGACGACGGTGCCCACGGGCTCGCCCACGAGCGCGCCGACGGCGACGCCGTCCTCGAATCCGAGCCCTGCGCCCACGGCATCGCCCACGGCGATGCCCACGACGTGTCCGACGGCCGCGCCGACCTCGTCTCCCACCTCGTCGCCCACGGCGACGCCGTCCGGGTTGCCCACGGCTTGTCCGACATCTGTGCCGTCGAGCGCTCCGAGCTCCGCGCCATCTTCAACGCCGACGGCTTCTCCCACGACGCCACCAAGTCCTGTACCGACTTCTCAGCCCTCCGTGGTCCCGACATCGGTTCCCACGGCCATTCCTCGAGCGGTCCCGACGCCGGTCCCGACGTCGATACCCACTGGAGTGCCCACTTCTGTCCCGACGCAACGGCCTTTCGCCGCGCCGACCGAGCTGCCGACATCCACTCCGACGGCAGTTCCCTCGCCAGCGCCCTCGCCGGTGCCGACGACGCCACCGTCTCCTACTCCTACGACGCCGCCGAGCTCACAGCCTTCGCCTGTACCCAGCACTCCTCCGAGCCCGACGCCGACGACTCCGCCGTCGCCCGCGCCCACGTCCGTGCCCACGGGCATCCCGACGCCGGCGCCGAGCGCGACGCCGACGTCCTCGCCCACGGGGAGGCCATCGCCCGCGCCGTCGCCCGTGCCCAGCGCGACGCCTACCAACGCGCCTACGGGCACGCCCACGGCGACTCCCACGTCTACACCCACGAGCAGGCCTACCAGCGCGCCTACGGGCACTCCGACCGCGGCGCCGACGAATCTTCCGACGAGCAGGCCCACGAGTACGCCTACAGGCACGCCCACGGGCACGCCAACTGGACGGCCCTCAAGCGCTCCGTCACCTCTGCCGACGCCGACGCCCACGAGCTTGCCAAGCCCGATCCCGAGCCCGCTCCCGAGCCCGCTCCCGAGTCCTCTTCCGAGTCCTCTTCCATCGAGTCTTCCCTCGCCGGCTCCTTCAGCGCTTCCCAGCGCCCTGCCATCGAGCGTCCCGACGACCATGCCCACGCCGAGCCCCACAGTGCTTCCGAGCAGCATGCCTTCACCGGTCCCGACGACGCCGCCGTCATCAGTCCCGACAACCCCGCCGACGAGCGTCCCCACGGCCTGCCCCTCACTCGCACCAACTTGGTCCCAGCCCCCGTCTGCGGAGACGCCGTCGCCGTCGATCTCGCCCTACCCGAGCCCAGCCCCCACGCGGAACGAGATCACGGTGCGCCTCGCGCTCGAGGTCGAGGCGAACGCGACATCCGGGGCTGCGTACCGGCCCGCGTCGAATACGCACTTGTTTTCCCGAGAAATCGCCGTCGACGAGTCGGGCCGCGTGCGCGTCTACGCGCTCGAGCGCGACGGCGCGCTCCACGGCTCAAAACAAACTAATCCACAGGTACTGCGCCGACTTCGACGCGCTCGGCGCGGCCGCGTACTTCGAGCCGGAGTACGCTTCGGCGATCGGCACGCCGCAGTCGTCGGTCCAGGTCACCTGCGACCCGAACGCGACGACGGACCGGCGCCGGCTCGACGACCACGCGCTGGTCCACTTCGTCATCGACGCGGCGCTCTTCGCGGAGCACTTCGTGAACCGGAGCGCGGGCGAGTCGACGCGCGACGCGGGCGCCAAGGTCGCCGCGCGCGTCGCGGACGCCGTGCGCAACGGCACGCTGCGCCAGGCTGTGTGGAAATCAAATCTTCAGCCCACTTCAATGTGCGCGTATTCGAAAGCTTTGACACGAAAACTTTCGCTGTGCTTCGAGAACTCGATGAGAGCAATCGATCGGTCCAAAAGTCAGCCGAATAGACTTCGATTTGACCGAGCTCGAGAATTTCAAAGTTTGGTCGGGACGTCCCAAACCAGCGGCTGATTTCCACGCAGGCGCCAGGCCGTCAAGATCCGCATCTACGAGGCCGCGGGCCTCGCGCCGACGGCGGCGCCGACGGCCGAGCCCTGCGAGGACGGCCTCGACGCGGCGACGTGCGCGGGCTTCGTCGCCGTGAGCCCCGGCACCTGCGAGACGTCGCTCGTCGGCGTCTGCGACTGGACCTGCGGCCGCTGCGAGCCGCCGACGGCGCCGCCGACGTCGTGCTACGACGCGGTGGGGCCCGAGCTCTGCGCGACGTACGCGGCGGAGCACCCGGACGCGTGCGGCGCCAGCCTCGCGGGCGTCTGCGACCGCACCTGCGGGGTGTGCGACGACGGCGCGGCGGCGCGGCGCGCCCTGGTTTCGGAAGATCGACGACGCCTCGCGACGACGACGACGACCAACGCGAGCGACCTGCTGCTCGACTACGTGGACCGCGGCGTCGACAAGAAGATCGCCTTCGTGCTCATCACGGAGACGCTCGAACCCTCGGCCACGCCCTCGCTGCCGCCCACGCCGCTCAACAGCACCCCGCCGACCGCCGCCCCCGTCGTGCCCGGCGACGACGACGCGCAGACCCTGCTCGAGTGGGCGCTCACGCCTCTGGGCGTCGCGGCGCTCGTCTTCGCGGCGCTCGCGGCGGGCTGCGTGGAACTCAAATCCTCAACCCGACTTCAATGTGCGCGTATCGAACGGTTTGGACCAGGCTCTTCCGAGAGCAATGGATTCGTCCAAAAATCAGCCGAATCGACGTCGATTTGACCGAGCTCGAGAGTTCTGAAGTTTGGTGGGGACCCCCCAAAACCAGCGCTTGATTTCCACACAGGCCGCGGGCCTCGCCGTCGGCGGCGGCGCGTCGCTGGGCTTCGGCCTCTGGAACGCGGCGAAGGAGCGCGCGTCCCTGGGGCGCCTCGACCCCGTCGTCAACGTCGTCCACGCGACGCCGCGACGGCGGGACCGCGAGGCCGCGGTGCCCGCGCCGCTGCCCGCGTGGAAGCGGCGCCTCTTTCCCAACTTGTCGCCGCGCGTGTCGCCCCGGACGTCGCCGCCGGGCGGCCAGACCGTCGAGGTGCAGCCGCGGACGCCGCCGCCCCGCGGGTCGCCGCGGACGCCGCCGCGGCGCCAGTCGTCCGCGGAGATCTCCGACGCGGAGGCGGGCACGCCGCCGCCGCGGCCCTCGAAGGTCTTCCCGGAGGCGGCGGCCCACCGGCCCCCCGGGTCCGCGCGCGTCGTGCCCGAGTTGCCCGAGGACCGGCGCCGCGGCGGCCCGGGCGCGCGGCTGCCCCGGCGGCCGCACAAGGGGCCGTCCGCGCTCATGCACGACGACGACCTCCGGAAGCACCCGCTCCCGAAGGTCCTCGTCGCGAAGCGCCACCCGAAGAGCGACGACGACGAGCGGCCGCCGGAGTACGCGGGGCCGCCGCGCCGCGCGCGGCGCCGCGAGCCGCCGCCGCGCCCGGAGACCGAGAGCGACGACGACGACCGGCGGCCCGAGTACCGCCGGCACCGGCGCCGGCGCGACTCGGACGACGACTATGACAGCGACCGCCGGCCGCGGCGCGGCAGCCGCCGGCCGCGGCGCGACGGCACCAGCGACAGCGACGACGACGACGACCGGCCCGCGTACCGCCGCGAACGGCGCCGGAGGAGCCGCCGCGACAGCGACAGCGACGCCAACGGGCTCTGAGAGAGAGCCCGCCACCACCACCATCTTCCTGTGTAATGTGTTTTGTATCATCCGGCTCGTTTTTGCCACTCGCCCTTGGAGGGCGTCGTTTTGCCACACGGCACACCGAGGCCAAGTTGGCAGGCATCGCAGACCGCAACGAGCCGTGCGAGCAGCGATCTGCAAAAAGCGACAAAAGGAAGAAGCTGGTAGAGCGCGGCCCTCGAAGAGAGAAGCGAACGCGGGACGGCCAAACATCGACTAAGAAACATGTCCGCATCCTCCATCAAGCAGCTCGTCGTCGACCTCCAAAAGGCTTCGGCGCCGACGACGATCAACGACATCCTGAAAGCGCTGACGGCGGCCAAGGTCACGGTGGCCATGCTCCACGAGTTCAAGTGCGGCGCCGTCGTGTCGAAGCTGCGCAAGCACGAGGACGCCGGCGTGTCGGCGTCGGCCAAGGCCCTCATCAAGAAGTGGAAGGAGCTCGCGGCGGCCGCCGGCGTGCCGTCGACGCCGCGCGCCTCCGGCTCGAGCCCGCGCGAGGGCCAGGCGTCGTCGACCGCCGAGACCGCGGCGGGCTTCGAGGTCGCGGACCTCGGCGATGCCGTGCGCCAGAGCTCGCGGAAGAAGCTCCTCGAGGTGCTCTCCGAGGGCGGCGCGCCCGCGGGCGCCGCGCGCGCGGCCGAGGCCGTCGAGCGCGAGATGCACGGGCGCTGGGCGAACCTCGCCGACGCCAACGTGAAGCGCGACTACGTCGCGAAGCTGCGCCAGCTCAGCTTCAACCTCAAGAAGAACCCGGACCTCCGCGCGCGCGTCGCCGGCGGCGGCGTCACGCCCGCGGAGCTCTGCTCCATGTCCGTCGACGAGCTCGCGACGCAGGAGGTCCAGGCCGAGCGCAAGAAGATGGCCGAGTTCCAGCACGACGCCCGCTCCCTCGACTGGGACAAGAAGAACCGCGACCGCGTCGACGCGTCCATCGGCATCGACAACAAGAAGACCATGTACCCCTGCGGCAAGTGCAAGTCGACGAAGGTCTCCAACTACGAGAAGCAGACGCGCTCCGGCGACGAGCCCATGACCCAGTTCTTCGAGTGCGCCGACTGCGGCAACCGGTGGCGCTTCTAAGCCCCGCGGGCGAGCCTAACACGGAGCGCGGTTCGTTTCGTCCGTCGGCGGCGGCGGGCCTGACTACGGCCGAGGGGCTTCGAAGCGCCTATAGGAGCACCGGTGGGATTCGACGGCGCTTCAACTTAACAGGTTAACATATCCCGCCGGCGGGACATGTTAAACGCCTCTTCAACTTGGACTTCACCGTGAAACCTTGTACTTCAACAGGGACCTCAACACATCCGCTTGCCCTTCAAAAGGGACCTCAACACCGCCGCTCACGCCTCGCCGGGGACCTCTGACGCGCCGCCCACGCCTTAGAGGGCGCGACCCGCCCCATGCCACGTGCAAGCCCTCCTCAATAGCTCAATCACTTATGCGCACCGGAATTGCGACAAGCGTGCAAAAAAATGCGCTTTCACGCCGTCGACATCGGGCGCATGCTCGTCCTACGACGGGCTGCGGCCGAGCATCACTGCCCACCCCCCCCCCCCCCCGACGTACCCCCCGATTCCCCCCGTAAGCTCCGTCTCGCCCGCCGCTACCAGGCGTAGGTCCCCGAGAGGAGCGCGGCGAAGGGGATCGTCGTCGCCGAGGCGCCGAAGATGACGAGGGAGTCGAGGACCCAGAGGTTGATGACCCAGAAGAAGAAGAAGAGGAGGCCCACGTCCGCGGCGAAGTACGCGGCGAACGTCGCGGCCGTCGACGCCCACGTCGCGTCCGGCGCGGCGGCGTGGGGCGTCGCGACGACGTTGACGTAGGCGACGAGGATGAGCGCGATGCAGAGGGTCGCCCAGTTGAAGACGGCCGTCACGCGGTTCGCGACGGCGTGCTCGTCGCTCCAGCCGTCGTCGGCGATGGTGATCTCGCCGCGGCTCGTCTTCGTCTGCATCTCGCGCGCGACCGCAAAGGCCGCGGCCGCGTAGCCGACCTCGAGGACGCGGTAGACGAGGCGGTGCGCGCCGAGGGTCGAGGGCGCCATGCGCTCCGCGGCCTCCGCGAGGCCCGCCGCGACGTCGCGGAGCGCGGCGGCGCCTCGAGCGTGGTCGACGCGCTCGGCCCGCGTCGAGTAGATCTGGTCCCCGGGGAGGTCGTGGCAGATCGCGCGGTCCATCGCGATGATGAAGAGCAGGGAGAGCGAGTTCATGAAGATGTTGATGGGTCCGTCGGCGAGGCCGATGAGCTGCGACGCCGTCTGGAAGAAGTCGACGGCGAGCGAGAGCCGCGAGAGGACGAGGACGTAGGCCATCGCCCAGCGCGGCGCGAAGGCCCAGCTGGTGGTGGTGGTGGCGGCGGCGGCGGCGCCTCGGCGCGACGGGACGTATCGAAGGACGCAGGTCCCGAGCGCGACCTCCCTGACCTCCTCCATGACACTTGGAGGTCCACGAGACGCAGTCGCGGTGCGCCGATTCGTCATCATCTGAGTCGATTCTTTGGCGGCCCATCGACCGTGGCAGTAGTGCTGTTCAATAATTTATTTCCACGGCATTAATTAATAGTACTTTTCCTGACTCAAAGGTTGAGTCAACTCCGGCGACTTCAATCTGAGATAAATTGACTTCAATTTGAACCCAAGGAAAGCGGCGGCGCTTGCAGGCCGCGCAGCACTGCACTGCCGCACCCACAACCATCGTTGCTCACGCGCGCCGCGAAGCAGCAATGGCCGGCACGCTCGCGGAGTTCGTGCGCAACATGAAGAAGCCAACGTTCGTGCTCATGTGCGGGTCGAGCCGCAAGGGGTCCCACAACGCGAAGCTATTGGAGTCCGTGCGGTCGCGCCTGGCCGCCGAGGACGCCGCCTGCGAAGTCGTGGACCTGGACGCGCTGCAGCTCCCGATCTACAGCCAGGACCTGGAAACGGCGTCGATGCCGCGCGCCGCCGTGGAGCTCAAGGAGAAGCTCGTCGCGGCGACGGGATTCGTCATCGCGTGCCCCGAGTACAACGGCATGCCGACGCCCCTGCTCCTGAACGCGATCACCTGGGCGACGCGCGGCGAAGGCGGCATGTACGCGGGGTTCCAGAACAAGTGCGCGAGCGTCGTCGCGACGTCGCCGGGCCCCATGGGCGGCTTGCGCATGGTCCGGACGATGCACACGATGCTGCAGGACATGGGCGCGGTCGTCATCACGCCGGCCGTCGCGCTCGGCGGCGCGGGCAAGATCTTCGACGACAGCGGCGCGCTCGTCGACGCGCGGTCCGCGGGCAAGGTCGACGCGCTCTGCGGCCAGCTCATGCACTTCGCGCGCTTCCAGGCGAACCGCGACAAGGACGACTGCATCGTCCGACTGATCAACGAGCAGAAGGTCATGGGCGAGTACGGGTCGACGGAGTAGGGAAGACGCTCGATGTCGGTAAAGTTGGGCCCACGTGACGCGCCAGGGCGCGTCGACCGCGCCAGGGCGGCGGCGCGTCGACCGCGCCGGGTTTGATGATAGCGTCCCACCGTAGGAAGCGGCGCGGCTCATGAACACGCACGCCAAAGCGCGCCGGCGACCGCGGGCGGCTCAAACGTCCCATGAACCCACACACTTACGCGGCGCGGATCGTGATCGTCTGCTTGCCCGCCCACGATTCGCCCGCGGCGAGCGACACGGGCCCGCGGTCGCGCGCGACCGCGGGCTCGACGCAGAGCATGTAGTGGTAGCCGTCGTCGTCGAAGTCCGGCCCGCGCGTCGGCCCGCGCTTGCCCTCGACCCAGGGGTTGAAGACGACCGTGTCGCGGTAGGTCGCCGTCTGCTCGAGGTCGTAGACTTCGCCCCCGGCGACCGTCAGCGTCAGCGGCCGCCCCCGCGTCTCGTGGTAGATGCGGTCGACGAAGCCCGCGGCCGGCGGCCGCGACCCGCAGGACGCGATGCTCGCCTGCTCGACGGCGATGGAATCCTCGTCCTCGACGCGGTCCTCGGCGGCGACCTTGTCGTAGTAGGCGACGCCCCGCAGCCCCGCGAGCCGCACGTCGCGCACGTCGTCGAAGCGCAGGTACGTGTGGAGGCACGTCGTGAACTCGAAGGGCGTCAGCGCCTTGACCCCGAGCTCGAGCCCGAGGAACGGCGAGCCGTCGTCGTTTCGGCCCACCGACACGGTATAGAGCAATTCGAACGCGGGGTCCCAGCCCATGGTCTCGTCGCTCGTCAGGGCGTCGTGGCCGCCGCCGGGCACGCCGTATTTGCGCAGCGCGAAGGTCGCCGTCGCGCAGTCGTCGCGGCCCTCGCCGCCGATGCGCGTCCACCGGAGCGTCCGCGCGAAGCCGTGCAGCGGCAGCGGGCCCTGGTCCGCGAACTGCGGGAAGGCGACGGGCACGCCGCCGCGGATCGGGCCGCTCTCGTCGAGGCGGCTCAGGGAGCTCATCCAGAGCCGCTCGCGGCCCGCCGTGCGCCAGCTCGTCACGGTGGCGCCGTAGTAGGCGACGTCGACGGCGTCGTCGCCGAACTCGACCGTGAAGACCTCGAGCTGCGGCTTCTTGCGCGAGCCGAGCAGCGCGTTGACGGGCTCGCGCGAGCCCAGGAGGTTGCTGATGTCGTCGATCATGGTTCTCCGACGCAGCCGCCGCAGACGAGGAGAGAGCGCCGAGCTGCCACAGACTTCCACAGCTCGCCGAGAACGCAGGCTGCTGTGCACTGCCTGGATACGGCCTTTCGAACCAGCCAATCAGAGGCTGCCCACGCTGAGCGACACACGATGAGAATGCCCATGCTGCCCCGCGACGACGACAAGCTCACGGTGCTCTGGCACGACGCGCTGAGCGTCGTCGCCAGCGTCCTGTGGCCGTGACGATTTTCGAGTGATTTAGGGGTGGGAAAACAATCGTCCGTGACGATTTTCGAGTGATTTAGGGGTGGGAAAACAATCGTCACCGTCATGCTGGTAGGTTGTCGCCGTCGTCAACCTGTCCGCGCTCGTCGTCCTCCTCGCCAAGGTCAGGGCCGACGACGCCTACGGCAAATGGATGAAATACCTCGCCGTCCCCTGGGTCTGGGAGTGCGCCTGGCGCTCCGTGTTCCCCGCGCTCTACCTGCAGCGCTACGCCTGGTACGACAGCCCGCTCAACAGCATCCTTGTGGACCGCTGCTTCGCCTGCGTCGGCGAGCTGTGCTGGACGCTGCAGATCGCGATCGCGCTGCGGCGCCAGGGCGACGACCGCTTCGTCGCGCTCGCGAGCGTCTTCGCCGTCGTGACCTACGTCGTCGCCGAGGGCGCGTCCTTCTACAACGTCGCCACGACGAACGAGTGGTGGGCCGCGGCGGAGGTCGGCCTCGACGCCGTCGCGGTCCTGCCGCTCGCGCCGGCCGCGCTCTCGCTCCTGTGGCGCGGCGCGGGCTCGCGGGGGTCGGCCGCGTTCCTCTGGGTCCTCGTCCTCGGCGTCGTGGCCCAGTGCTACTTCAACTTCTTCGTGGACGTGCCCATGTACCTGGCGCGCTACGAGGCTGACGAAGCCGCCGGCAAGGCGTACTTCGCGTTCGTCCCGGGCCTCGAGGACGCGTGGAAGACGCGCGTCGTCGCGCGGACCTACGCGGCGTGGCACGCGGACATGTTCTGGATGACGGCCTACTTCACGCTCGCCTGCTGGTCCGGGCTCCTGCTCATGCTCGCGCCCAAGCCCGAACGCGACCTCTTCCCGAAGAAGGACGTGCGCGTGCAGCCGCTCCTGCCGCCGGAGTCGGCCTAGAAAGGTTCGCTGACATCCTAAAATAGAGTGTTACGAGAAGAAGCGCGCGCCCGAGGACACGTTGTAGCCCGCGGGCCGGAAGTCGTAGCCCAACGCCGCGCAGTGCTCGTAGGCGAAGTTGTCGTACATGTAGGGCAGCGCGTCGTTCTCCGGCGCGCTGAACTCGTAGAAGTCGAGGTTCGTGTAGGGGTCCGGCTCGCCCGCGGCTCCCGTGAAGTTGCCGAAGGGCAGGTCGTCGTCGACGCCGTGGCCCGGGCACGTGCCCCTGACGCAGACGGGCATGGCGTCGTCGGCGTCGACGGCGGACCAGTCGCACACGAGGCCCGTGTCGCTCGGCGGCGTGATGAACGTCGTCCCTCCCGCCATGTTGTGCTCGTAGCGCCAGTCCTGCACGAAGGTCTTGGAGCCCGTCGTCGCCAGGAGCCGCCGGTAGTGGACGAGGCGCTCCGCCGTCGTGTGGATGGGCCAGAAGAGCGGGTCCGCGGGCGCCGCGGACGTGAACATGTCGCCGACGTTCTGCGGGTCGCAGAGCGCCCTGACGACGGTGCGCCAGACGTCGGCCTCCTGGCGCTCCGACATGTCCTTGACGCGCCATTTGCCGTCGGCGTAGTAGAACTGGGGCTTGAGCGCCTGGGCGAGCCAGTGCGTGAGGTCCGTCTCGTTCGTGAGGAACGCGTAGGCGTCAAAGTCCGCGGCGTCGACGTCGACGCCGCACTTGCATCGGCAGTCCGCCTCCGTGACGCCCTCCTTGGACGACGCGCAGGTCGACGGCGCGGGCGAGCGCACGTAGCCCTTGCGCCAGAGCCACTTGGAGAAGAGGAGCACGTCGGACGGGAACGTGATCGTCTCCGCCCAGAAGGCGTCGACCCAGGACGTCGCGTTCGTGGACCACTGGCCGCCGACCATGATGTGCACGGGCCCGTGGGCGGCGCCGTTCATGATCTGGAGCACCTCCGCGAGCGTCGGCGACGTGAAGGCGCGGTGCCAGACGTCGCAGCCCGGGAAGTTCGCGAACGACGGCTTCCCGAACAACTCCTTGGACCGAGTGACAAAGGGGTCGCTGATCGAGTTCCAGGGGCTCCGCAGGAGGCCGTAGGCGTTCGTGCACCTTTCGTCCGTCGGGTCCGGCGAGGTCGGCACGGCCGTGTAGGCCCAGCGGCCCGACGTGACGTAGTGCTGCGAGCTCAGATTCGTCATCGCGCCGAACCACCGCCGCGTGAAGATCTCCGACTGGTCCCACCACATGGACCCCGGCGTCGCGTCGATGGTCGCGGCGTCGACCGTGTAGTCCCAGTAGGGCACGGCGACGCGGGCGTCGATGGCCTGGAGCGACTGCTCCAATTCCAACGTAAACGCGACGTGGTGGTTCAGGATGCCCGCGTCGTCGTGCCAGTGGTCGCAGGACCGGTCCGCGGCGCCGTAGAGGTGTTTTTTCACGAGGTACGTCGACGACCGGAATTTCGACCCGTAGCGGCGCTTGCCGTCGGCGTCGGACGCGTGGTAGACGACGTGCAACGCGCCTAAAAAGCCCTCGCGGTCCGCGTCGCCCAGGGCCCGGATCTCCCGCCGCACGTACTTGACCATGACCGTGAAGTCGTGGCTGTCGCCGCCGGCGCCGACGCGCACGCCGTGGCGGCCCGTGCGCGAGAAGGTGTGCAGCGCGCGCGTCGCGTCGGATCCCCCGTTCGGTCGCTCGCCCTCGACGGCCCAGGCCGTCGCGGCGGCGCCGTCGAGCTCGAGCACCGTCGCGCGGTGCGGCTCGGCGACGTGGGGCCAGGGGTAGAGCGAGTCCGCGCCGACGTAGTCGGACCGGTCCTCGCGCCGCACGGCCAGCGTCGGCGGCGCCGCGGCGCTGGGCGGCGCCGCGGCGAACCAGCGCGCGACGACGTCGTCGACGTCGAAGACGCTCGCGGCGACGAGGATGGCCAGGCCCAGGACCGGCGCCACCCAGGCCGCGGCCCGCCGGCCGGCGCTCCCGGGGAGCCGCTCGTAGGGGCTGCCCATCATCCAATTAAATCCAATCGCTTCAGATATAAGGTTGACGATGCACTTTAGGTCAGACGTCGCCCTCTTACGCGTAGTCGTCGTAGTCGCCGTAGCCGCCGCCGTCGTAGCCGAACGATGCACTTAAGGTCAGACGTCGCCCTCTTACGCGTAGTCGTCGTAGTCGTCGTAGCCGCCGCCGTCGTAGCCGCCCTCGTCGTAGTCGTACTCGCGGAGGTTCAGGCTCCGGAGGGCGATGCCGCCGCCGCCGTCGTCGCCGGCCCCGCCGATGCGGAAGCTTTCGTCGTCGTCGTCCTCCTCCTCCTCCTCGGACCGGCGCGGCGGCGGCGGCGCGGCGCCCGTCGTCGTCGTCGTCGAGCGTGGACGAGAACGCGATCGCCGCCACGGCGAACATGGCCGCGAAGGCGAGGAACGTCTTGTGGAAGCCGAAGCGCTTCACGGCGACGCCGCCGAGCGCCGCGCCGAGGCCGCTGCCGCCCGTGAACGCCGCCGAGAACAGGCCCTGCGCCAGCGTCTCCCAGGTCGCCGGCAGCAGCTCCCTGGCGCACGACACGCCCGACGTGTAGAACAGGGCGAAGGTGACGCCGTGGAGCGGCTCCACGAGCAGCACCAGGGCGGGCCGCCCCGCGAAGGCGTCCAACAGCGCGTAGGACGCGCAGCGCACCGCGTAGAGCGCCAGCACCGTCACGATCAGCGTCCGCGACCCGTAGGCCCGCAGCAGGTCGTCGGCGTAGTGCAGGCACGGCACCTCGACCACACACTCGACCATGAGCGCGACGCCGCAGAGGAACGGCGTGCCGCCCAACCGCCGCGTGACGTAGACGAACAAAAAGTTCATGACGAACCCGAAGCCCGCGCCCACCGTCGCGACGCACGCGAGGAAGACGACGACGGGCCGCCGCGCGAGCGCGCCGCGGAGCGCGTCGTCGCGCCGCCAGGGCGGGTCGTCGGCCTCGTCGTCGTCCTTGAGGACGTCGAAGGGGTTGAGCGAATCCGCCGGCGTGTCCAGGACCGTCGCGGGCGACCGCGTCGACAGCTCGCCGTCCGACGCCTCCTCGTCGTCGTCGTCGTCGCCGACGATGGAGAAGGGGTTGACGACCGTCTCGTCCTCCACGGCCGCGTAGCCCGGCTTCGCGTCGGGTTTCGACGCGGACTCGACCAGACGACGCGCGCACGCGGCCATCGCGATCGACAGACACACCGAAACGGCGACGTTGGGCCCGAAGCCGAAGCGGTCGAACGCGATGCCGCCCAGCGGCGCGATGCCGCCCCAGGCGATGGACCCGAAGAGCCGCGCCTTGCCGAAGTCGCCGCCGCCGTTTTCCTCCAAACTCCGCAGGACGCCCGCGTCGACGAAGGGCGTGATCGGCGCCTCGAAGACGGCCCGCAGGACGGCCACGCCCAGGACCGCCGCGCCCGTCGACGACGTCGCCGCGCATACGAGGAGCACGGTCAAGGCCTGCCAGCCGAGCCACGCGCCGCCGAACGCGAATCTCCGGCTCTTCCAGCGGTCCGCGCCGTAGGCCCAGAGCGGCGCGGCGACCACGGACGTCACTCGACAGGCGCCCATGAGCGCGCCGAGCGCCGCGTCCGACTCGTATCGGCTCAAGAACAGCGGCAGGAACGGCCAGACGAGGCACTGCGACGCGTAGTGGAAGAAGTAGACGCCGTTCTCGCGCGTCGCGAGCGCCGCGAGCCGCGGGTCCATGCTAGTCGCCGCGCGGGATGCGCTTGATGATGAGCTCCGCCGCCGACGGGCCGCCGTCGCCGTGGAGCTTGCGCTCGATCTTCGCGTGCTCCTCGGCGAGGGCGAAGGCCTTGACGGACCGCGACTTCGTCTTCAGGTCGCGGGCTTCCACCGTGCCCTTGGTGAACTGGGACAGCACGTAGGACCCGCCGGCGACGAAGGCGATGAGGGGCGCGCCGGCGAAGACGAACTGGCGGGCCGTGGGCGGGGGCATCAAGTGGTGCTGCTGGCCGCCTTGCTGGTGATGGGAGAGCTGCTCGCGGCGCTTGAAGCTTCAACTGAGGCTCAACTTGAGGGCAACAATCATGATAATCAGTGTGGTCCTCGGCCTCGCGGAGGGCCGGCGCGACTTCCAGGAACTAGAGGAAGTCGCTTAGCTTCCAGCGCCACCGGTCCTCCGCGCGGATGGAGTTGGACCCGTGGAGGCCGCCGGGGAGCGGCCAGTCGCCCTGCGCGCTGAGCGTGCAGTAGAAGAGCACGCGCCGCTTGTTCGACGTGTTGCCGAGCCCCGCGTGGAGGCACCGCGAGTCGAAGATGGCGACGTCGCCGGCCGCGAGCTTGCTCCGCTGCGCGGGCCGCGACGCGATGTACCTCTCCTGGTCGCTCCGCCGCACGTTCCACAGCGCGTGGTCGGTGTGGGTAGAAGGAAGAAAGAGCGTGTGGCCCATGTCGTCCTCGACGTCCTGGAGCGCCATGAAGAAGGTGTAGAGCGGCGCCATGGACGCGTCGGGGTACTGGGGGCAGGGCAGCACGATCGTGTCCGCGTGGATGCACTGCCGCGGGCTCCCGGGGTCCGCGACGAGGCAGGAGATCTCGTGGAGCGTCGCGTCCGTCCCCACGAGGGGCTCGAGCAACGGCCGGAGGTTCGCCGCCATCTCGGCGAGGGCGGCTCTCACGAGGGGCTCGTCGACGGGCAGGTACATGTCCTGCCGTTGCCCGAACAGGCCGTCCTGGCCCCGGCAGTTGACGCCGCCGAAGCGCGCGTCGAAGGGCACGTCGCCCGCGCTCACCTCGGCCTTGGCGCGCTCGCTCTCGCCGTCGATCCACGCGCGCAGCGAAACGCAGGTCTCCCGCGACAGCGCGCCGCGGAGGCCGACGGCGCCCTCGCGCTCGACCAGCTTGGCGAGCACGCCGCCCTTCTCCCGCATCGTCGCCGTCGGGCAGACCGTGAGCGCCTTCAAGCCCTTCTCCTTGCCCACGAGGGACGTGCCCTCCTTGATGGCGAGCGCCTCCGCATTCTTCGCGGCGATGCCGTCCTGGAGCTTGTCGAAGAGGCCGCCCGTGCGCCCGGACGTCGCGCCCTTGTTCACGACCGCCGAGAGGGCGTGCGTGCGGGCGACGACGAGGGCCGCGAGGGCCAGGAAGGCGCGGCGCATGGCTGCAAGCGGCGCGACGACGCGGTGGGTTGCCACTGAGCACAGCCGCCGCTGCTCGTGTGTGCTCGCTTGCTGCTCGTGCGGCAGCTTGACTTCACGCTCAACCTTGAGCAAGGAGTCGATGTGCGAGCCACCGAGACGCTGGGCAGCCCTCTGATCGCCACCGAGACGCTGGGCAGCCCTCTGATCGCCACCGAGACAGCCCTCTGCTCGCGCGCCGGACGCGTGACGCAGCCATGCCCGTGGACTACAGCAACTGGGACGCCTTCGAGGACAGCGACGCCAGCGACAGCGAGGACGAGCCCATGACCGAGGCGGAGATCCGCGCCGAGAGCGACCGCGTCGCCCGCGAGTCCGTCGAGGCCAACGAGATGCTCAAGCTGCGCTACCCGAACGGCACGGACGACGACGTCGAGTTCCCGCCGAAGCACCTCGACGAGGAGACGCGGAAGAAGCTCATGGAGATGCAGCCCGGCGGCGAGAAGGTGCTGCAGGCCGCGCGCGACTTCAAGAAGAAGCTCAAGGCGGACCGCGAGGCGGGCAACGACCCGCGCACGGCCGCCGAGCGCTTCGCCCGGCAGGAGCCGCCCCGGGCGCAGACGCAGCCCGCGACCTGGGCGGAGCGCGTCGCGTCGGCGACGGAGACCAAGGCGCACGCGAATTCCATGTTCACGGAGGGCACCGCGGGCGAGGCGCTGCCCGGCTACCTCGCGGCGATCTGGCTCCTCAAGGCGGGCGCGACGCCCTACCCGGCGGCGCTCCGCAAGGCGTCGGGCCTGCTCAAGCCGAACCCGCCGCGCGGCGCGGCCGCGGCGGCGCTCCTCGGCGACGGCGCCGACGACGAGCCCGTCGTCGAGGAGGTGCCCGCGGAGGCGCCATTGGTCGAGGAGGTGGAGCGAGACGGCGGTCCGGACGAAGACGGCGCGCCGACGCCGCCGGCTGTGTGGAATTCAACCACTGGTTTGGGTGGTCCTGACCAAACTTGAGAATTCTCTAGCTCGGTCAAATCGAAGTCGATTCGGCTGATTTTTGGACGAATCGATTGCTCTCGTCGAGTTCTCGAAGCACAGCAGAAAATCTTGCGTCTAAACTGTCGCGTACGCTCACATTGAAGTCGGGTTGAAGATTTGAATTCCACACAGGCCGCCGGCGAACCCCGACCTCGAGTGGGACTCGGACGAGGAGTCGAGCGTCGCGGGCGACGTCGAGCGGCCGCCCTTCGAGCCCGCGCCCGCCGTGGGGCCGCCCGACGCCGCGGCCCTGCGGCTGAGCCTCCACCTGAACGTCGCGCTGGCGGCGCTGAAGCTCGAGGACTACGCGCTCGCCGAGGCGGCCTGCGGGTACGTCCTGGACCGCGACGAGGGCCACGTCAAGGCGACGTACCGCCTGGCCATGGCCTGCGAGGGCCAGGGCCGCTTCAAGCGCGCGCTCAAGCTCCTGACGCGCGTCTGCAAGCGGGACCCAAAGAACGCGGACGCGCGCGACGCGCGGAAGAAGGTCAAGGCGCGCCTCGAGGACCTCCGCTGGCAGTACGGCGACTGGCTCGAGACGGAGAACAAGAAGCTCTACAAGGACCAGAAGGACTGGCAGCCGCCGCCGACCTACGAGGGCAAGGTCATCCCGCCCCAGGGCCTCTACAAGCGCACGTACTACCTGCACCCGCTCGCGAAGCGCGTCCTCGTGCTGACGGGCCTGGCGACGGTGTCCCTCGTCTGCTACGCCTGCTGGGGCACGCTCGGCCCCTTCGTCGCGTCCCTGCGCGCCGGCGCGCGGCCCTGGGCGGCCGCGCGGCTCCGCGAGCTCCGCGCGCTCGCGCCCGTCGCGGCGGCCGCCGCGAAGCGCGGCGTCCTGGCCCTCTTCGACGCGGGCACGTGGACGCGAAAGGCCCTCGCGTCCGGCGCGTCGTCCGCGGCGCGGTCCTTCGCCGGCGCCGCCGTCGAGGGCGCGCGCGCGGCCGCGCGCGGCGCCGCGGCGGCCGTCCGCGGCCTCGGCGCGTTCCTCTTCAGCCGCCCGGGCTATCGCAAGAAGGCGCGGCGCGCGGCGTCGTCGTAAAAAAAGAGGGCGTGCTACAAAAAGGGGGGGGGGGGGCGCGGACGGCGCGCGCCTAGGGCTCGGGCTCGATGATGATCTCCTCGTCCTGGCTCTCGTCGAGGGCGACGACTCTCCGCTTCGCCTTGGCCTCGACGGCGTCGCGCTCCATGTGCTCGAACTTGTCGTCGGCCCAGGTCTGCATCTTCGAGAGCTGGGACGACATGCGCATGAGCTGCGTCTCCAAGGAACGCACCGACGTGCGGTGCGCGGACTTCTCCTCCGCGAGGAGGCGCTCGAGGCGCCGCACCTCGGCCGCCGACGACCGCGCGCCGGCGTCGGCGGAGCCCCCCTTCCGGTCGCCGATGACGCTCCAGGCCGTCGTTTTGGTGGTCGCGGACGGCGGGACCCACCCGAAGTCGCTGTCGTCGTCGCTGCGCTCGGCCTCGACGACGCCCGACGCGTCCTCGCCGTGGGAGAAGGGCGACGGCGCCCGCGACGACGGCGCGCGGTGGTCGTCGCCCAAAGACCCGCCCTCGAGCTCCTCGAGGCGCGACCGGAGCTGCGCGTTCTCGTGCTCCATCGCGCGCCGCTGCCGCTGCATGTAGCACGCCTTCGCGTCGGACCACTCCACGAGCGCCGCGGCCTGGCCCAGGGCCCGCGCGAGCTGCGTCTCCAGGGACCGCGACTGCTCGCGGGACGTGGACAGGGCCCGCTGCTCCGCGGACTCGTCCGGGATCGGCGTCGCGTGCACCGGCGGCGACGCCGCGTAGAGCAGGGCGCGTCGCCGCCGACGGGGCTCGGCGGGTCCAGGGGGGCGGCGAGGTCCTCGCCCCGGAGGCGCTCGTCGAGCGCCGAGATGCGCGCGGCGGACGCGAGCGCCGCGGCGACCTCGGGCGCGATCGCCGACGCGAGCGGCACGCCGCTGTTCAACCGCATGAGCGTCTTCGTCTTCTCGAACTCGCGCTCCCGCTCGAAGGTCACGGTCGTCAGGTCGCAGAGGCCCCCGATGGCCTCCTCGCCGGGGTAGCGCTCCTCGGCCGACGGCCGCCGGGGGGGGCGGCCCTCGACCCGCCCTTCCCGCCGCTCGACGCGGCCGACGACGCGCGCGGCCGGCCGCGGCCGTCCCCGCTGGGCCGCCGGGGCGTCGTCGGCGGCTTCGCGTCGAGCGGGGTCGTCATCCTTTTTCCCGGGGGGTCGGGCCGGGGGCGAAGGTCGTGAGGTTCAGCCCCGCGACCAGCTCGAGGCAGCCCGGGCATTCATCCACGATCGGCAAATTCGCGACTATATCCATTGGGTGCAGTGATCAACTACGGCCTGCTGTGGCAAGCGCTCGCGGCTCGTTGCGCCGCTGATCCGCGCGCGCCGCCGGAGTCCGACCTCGCCGGTCTCGTCCGCGGCCATGGACGCCGTCGCGACCTCCGCGATGGACAGCGACGACGTGAAGCAGACGCCCTACGTGAAGCTCATCAGGTGCGCGACCGCCGGCCCGCGGACCGAACCCCAACGAGCGCGCGCGCGCCGAGCCGTCCGCGCCCCCCCCGCAGCGCCGAGGGCCACGAGTTCTGGGTCGACCGCAAGTGCGCGAACACGTCGGGCACGATCAAGGCCATGCTCTCCGGTCCGCGCGGCCCGCGTCCCGCGCGCGCCGCGCGCCGCCCGCGACGCGCCGCGCGCCGCAGGCCAGTTCACGGAGAGCTCCGGCGAGATCAAGTTCCCGGAGATCTCGACGCCCATCCTCGAGAAGGTCATCCAGTACTTTTACTACAAACTCCGCTACACGAACAGCCAGGTCCGCATCCCGGAGTTCCAGATCGACCCCGAGATGGCGCTCGAGCTGCTGATGGCGAGCAACTTCCTGGACTGTTGATCGGGGATGTGTCGTAATATGCTGCTTACACCACGAGCGCGACGGAGGCGTCCGGCGCGATGGAGGCGGCGGACGTCGTCCGGGATCGCCGGGGCGGGCGCCGCGGCTCGCAGGGCCGTCTCGATGAGGGAGAAGCCCGGCGAATCGCCGCCGTCGGCGCCCTCGGCACCATCAAACACGCCAAAGTCGGATCATGTAAAAACCTCGGGCTGCCGCGTGCAGATGCTAATACTACCCTAGTTACCGAGTTAACTACATGTACATGTACTACGAAGTACTAGTAAAAAGTAATCAAACGTCATGGCCTCAAGATTCGCACTCGCCGGATGCCATCTTAACTGACAGCGCCCGCCCGATCGCTCCGACCTCTGTGGCACGACGACACGGCCTGACATCCAGCACGCTCCGAGCCGCGCAACCGCCCGCCCGCCTGCACGCGCGCCGGAGCCCGGCCGCGACCCGCCGCGCAGCCTCGGGGCAGCCGCGGGGCAGCCTCGGGCCCGCTCGGATCCGCATCTTTCCCGGCCTTCGAATCTCCGCGATGGGCTTCACCTCGGAGCGCATCCGCGTGCACCGCCTCGACGTCCCGTCGAGCGCCGAGCGCGGCGGCGCCTCGTCCTCGTCGCCGCCGATCCACATCCCCAAGAGCACCTTCGTCGACGAGGACGCCGAGGCCGACGCGGCGCCGGATTCCTTCACCGAGTACCGCGAATACGCGTTCTGGCGCCGCATGTCCAAGGACGGCCGCGACCTCCCATCGCCGGAGGCGCGGCCGGACCGCGCGCGACGGCGGTCGCGGAGCGACCCGGCGCACCGCGTCGCATTCTTCGACGACGGCGCCGCGGCGAACGCCGGCGGCGACGCCAACCTCATGTTCTCCCTCGACGAGTTCTGAGCTAACATATCCAGCGAGCCCGTCCACGCGCGTGCGCGCGTCTCCCGCGAGACGGCGCCTTCTCCTCGAGCGCGCGCCCCGCCGCGCGGTGTCCGCGAGGATCCGCGCGCGGGCCGCCGCCGCGCCGCGCGGAGGTCCGCTCCGAAGCCTCCGCCGCCGGCGAACCCCCGACTTTAATAAACTGTTTAGTGTGCTCCCTTGCAGAACGTTCTCCGCTGTTGGCTCTTTCTTTGGCTCGAGGTCGGCTTGGGCGCGCGGCGCAGCGCCGAACCCGGCGAATCGGCGAACCGCATCAGAGCCAGTCATTCGGACACTTTGTCCTGTCTACGTGGAAATTGAAAAACCAGAAGATGCGAGAAAAAACTGCCAGTTCAAGGTCCAGTTCACCTTCAACGTAGCTCTCGCCGAATTAATTACCGCAAGAACCTGAGCTCGAGCTCGGCCTCGCACTCTTGTGCAAGCACCTCGCGGTGCCTCGCGCCGCGTCGACGCTCGCACCACCTCGCAAGAACCCTGCGCTCGACTGTCGGCCTCGTGTTTGGGTTGTGCAAGCACCTCGCGGTGCCTCGCGCCGCGTCGACGCTCGCACCACCTCGCTGCCATGCGCGCGCTCGCGAGGCGCTGCGCGGCGCTGCTCGTTTTGAAGCGCGGCCTCGCGCTCTCGCCGCGCACGCTCATCACCTTCGACGTCGATTCGACCCTCGTCAAGGGTAGCAGCGCCCAGGCCGAGGCGTCGGCGCACGCGCGGTCCTTCGCCGTCGCCACGGGCGCCGTCTTCGGCGACGGCGCGCCGACGGGCCTGCCCGCGGCGGTCCTGGACGCGGCGGAGTACCACGGCAGCACCGACGGGCTCATCGCGCTGCGCCTCGCCAGGAAGGCGCTCGGCGTCGCGCCGGCGGACGCCGCGCCGCGGCTGCCGGAGGTCTTCGCGGCCATGTACGACTCCGTGGCGGGCGTCGACGACGAGGCCTTCGCCGTGGGCATCGAGCCGCTGCCCGGCGTCGTCGTGACCCTGACGGCGCTCGCGTCCGACCCGCGCGTCGTCTGCGGCCTCGTGACGGGCAACGTCGAGGCCATCGCGCGGAAGAAGATGCGGGCGACGGGCCTCCTCGCGCTCGGCGCGCTGGCGCCCCCGGACCCGGAGCAGGTCGCCGGCGGCGGCCTCGCGGCGGCCGAGGCCGAGTCGGCGTTCCTCGGCGGCTTCGGCAGCGACTTCTGCTCGGGCGACATCGACGACGCCGACCGGAACCACCTCGACCGCGGCGAGCAGATCGCCATCGCCTGGCGCCGCGCGCGGCGGGCGCACCCGAGCCTCGAGCGCCTCGTCCACGTCGGCGACGCGCCCGCGGACGTCCTCGCGGCCAGGGCCTGCGCGCTCGAGGGGCTGCTCGACGGCGACGACGGGCCGGGCGTCGTCGGCTGCGTCGCGGTCGGCACGGGCAAATACGCGCCGGAGCATCTGGCGGACCTCGCGGGCGACGCCGTCGACGGCGTCTGGGACCCCGTCGTGCTGGCGGACGGCCTCGCGGACCTTCGCTTCCTCGCGGTCGCACGCCGAGGGATCTAAACGCTTGCGCTTTTTTTGTTTGTTTCATGACGCCAACATAAAGTCCAAAGTCCACTGTTGAACATATGCGCTTTTTACAGGGCTGCACTGCAAGGCCCACAAGATTGCGCTTTTTTTATTTGTTTCATGACGCCAACACTGGCATCCGCTTTAACGCGGCATCTTGCACTGCAAGGCCCACAAGATGCAGCCGCGCCGAGGTGGCATCAGCTCGACCACCGCAGAGGCCGCCGTCGACGCCTAGCGCCGCCGCCAGGAGCGCCTCCAGGCCGAGAACCGCAGAGCGCCATGCCGCTCGCGCTGCGCGCCGCGCTCGTCTTCGGCGCCGCGCTCGCCATGGCGCCGCGGTCCGCCGGCCCGCCGAAGCGGCCGAAGAGCGCGCCGCGCCGCATCACGAGCGACAGCGTCAAGACGACGGGGCTCTCGTTGAAGACGCAGCTGTCCCTCGTGCGCGCCGTCAAGAAGAAGGGCGACGCGCCCCCGCGGGAGCGGCGCAGGGTCAACAAGGCCGGCGCAGGGAAAAAGGCGGAGAACGTCACCGCCCCGCCGCCGGCGCTGTACGAGAAGACGTCGCTCTTCGTCGACGGTTATAATGCTATTTTTGGCGACAAAGACCTGGACGCAACGTCGCGGGGCCCCGGCGGCCTCGACGGCGCCCGCGAGCGCCTGATCCGCGGCTGCGACGTGCTCTGCGAGTCGCGGAACTGGGAGGGCACGGTGTGCTTCGACGCGCATTCCACGGACGACGAGTTGACGGAGGAGCGCGTCTCTCCGCGCCTCACGGTCGTCTACACGGCGGAGCGGCAGACGGCCGACGCCTACCTCGAGGCCGCGGCGGCCGCGCGGAAGCCGCTCGGCGCCGGCGCGACGGTCGTCGCGTCGAACGACGGCATGGTCCGCCTCATGGCGACGGCCCAGCAGGCGTCGACGATGCGCGTCGACGCGCTCATGGACGCCGTCGCCGGCGCGGACCGGGCCCTGGCGAGCCGCATGGGCGCCATCCGCGCGGCGAACGCGCTGGGGGGGGGAGGCGACGGCGAGTACGACGCGCTCCGGGATCTGGCGGACCGCCACGCGTCCGAGGAGGGGCGCGCGCGCGACGCGCGCGAGGGCGCCCTCCGCGCGGACGTGTCGGCGCTGCTGGCGCGCGTCGCGGCGGGCGACGGCGCCGCGCGCGCCGCGCTCGGCGACCTCGAGCGCGGCATGCGGCCGCGGGCGCGAAAAGCGTTCGACGGCGAGAAGCGGCTGCTGGGGCTGCTGGACCTGCTGCGGGACGGCTGGTGGGTCGACGACCTAAAAACGGATTAGTAGTACGTCGTCGGCGCCCGGGGCGGCATGGCCGTGTTGTCGAAGCGGCGGAAGTACGCGTCGAAGAAGACGACGTTCTTGGGCTGGAGGCTCGGGATGAGCGGCGGGCCCTCGTCCTCGTCGTAGGCGCCGTTGAGGAATTTCGCCCGGTGCTCGTGGAAGTACCACCAGAGCGGCGCCGTCGCCGCGTGGATCTTCTTGCGGTCGCGCTTGACGAAGCAGTTGTCGAGGAACGTGCCGTAGCGGCACGCGAAGAGCTGGTCCAGCAGCGCCACGAGCAGGTCCGCCGTGAACTCGAAGCGCGCCGGGAACTGGTGGAGCAGCTGGACCATGGCGTCGGCGAAGAGCAGGAACACGGGCGACCGCTGGTCCTCGCCGCTCTCGTCCGTGTGGCCGCACCGCTCGTCGAACTTGTGCCCGAAATCGGCCCACTCCTTCTGCACCAGCGCCAGAAAGCCGTCCATGGTCCGGAACCGCGCCTCGAGCATGACCATGGCCAGCACGGTGATCTGGGGCGTGCGGTCCCAGCCGTCGGAGCAGTGCACGAGCACGGCGCACCGCTCGTAGTGCACGAGGTCGACGGTCTTCGCCGCGGACGCGAGGATCGCGTGGACCATGCTCAGCCACTTCGTCCCCTCGAGCTTCCCGAGCCAGGTCGCGCCGCCGTCGTAGGCGGTGTTGCCGCCGGAGCCGTCGCGGCAGAGCGCCTGGAGCGAACTGAGCGCGTCGCGCGCGGCGTGGATGTTCGCGATGTTGCCGTAGAACAGTTCCACGTTCTCGTAGTAGCGCGCGAGCTCCGTGCCGCCGCCCATGACCCGGTTGCCCTGGGCGGCGACCTTGGACCGCGCGTCGACGATGACCATGCGCTTGCCGTGGCACAATCGCCGGAGCTCGTCCAAGTAGCGCTCGTCGTCCGCGGACCGCTTGTTCTGCACGCCCGGCTTGGGCTGCGCGGACCGCGAGATCGTCGCGCCGTTGGTCGGGTCCGGGTGGGCCCAGACGACGGCGGGGAGCCGCCCCTTGGAGCGGTACGCGGCGACGCGGCGGAGCTCGAGGTCCGACATCGACGCCGGGACCACCAGATCCGGCGGGTACGTGTCGCAGAGCGCCAGGTTGTTCTCGCCCTGGGTCACGAGGCGCAGACCCCGCCGCGGGTACTCGGCGATCACGTAGGGCCGTAGCACGTAGTCGACGTACTCGGTCACGAGCGTGTACGCGTGCATGCGCGGGAGCCGCGAATTTCCGGGAAACTCCGCGCCCTCCGTCTCCGGCGCCTCCTCGTCGCTGTCGTCGCCCCAGGCGTTGTTCGTTCCCGCGGCGCGCACGCCGGCGAAGTGGGCCTTGGCGAAGGCGTCGGGGGCCTTGGAGAAGGCCAGCGCGTGCACCGCGCGCGCGACGCGCAGCGCGTCGCCGCCGAGGCGCTCCGCGACGGAGAACTTGCGCCGCTGGCCGTCCTTGCACGCAAAAGCCAGCGTGCTCGCGGCCCCCGGCAGCTGGCCGAGGTCGCAGCGCAGGAGCGCGCGACAGGGCATCTCCCAGTCGTCCGAGTCTTTTCGCGCGAACGACGGCCGGACGCCGACGCCGATGGGGTGGAAGACGACGCGGTAGGACGTCGCGTAGAGCTCGCCGGAGAGCGTCATGCCCGACAGCGCGCCCGACCGCCGCGGGTCGTCGACGACCCAGTCCTGGTAGGAGCACGCGCACTTGCCGAAGACGACCTCGCCCGCGAGCAGCGGCAGCTCGTAGCCGTCGGCGGCCACGGGCGACGCCGGCAGCGGGTCGAGGCGCGCGGGCGCGCCGCCGGGCAGGTCGCCGTGGTGCGGCGGCGCCGGGTGGCCGCCCGCGACGGACGACACCGCGTCGCGCGCGGACGGGAACCTGTGTGGAATTCAACCGCTGGTTTGGGTGGTCCTGACCAAACTTCAGAATTCTCTAGCTCGGTCACATCGAAGTCGATTCGGCTGATTTTTGGACGAATCGATTGATCTCGTCGAGTTCTCGAAGCACAGCCAAAGAGTACGGCGCAATCAGTTCGATTACGCGCACATTGAAGTCGGGTTGAAGATTTGATTTCCACACGGACGGGAACGGCTCGACGGCGGACGCGACGGCGGACACGAACTGCGACAGGTTGCTCTGCGACTTGGGCTTGGGTCCGCCGCCCGGGGGCGCATTGTTGGCCGCGGGCGGCGGCGGCGGCGCGTTGGCCCCGGCGGCGGCCGCGCGCTTCGCGCGGTCCTCCGCGGCGTCGGCCGCGAGCTCGTGCGCCGACGCGTTGCGGAAGGCGACGAGCACGGGCCGCCCGACGGCCTTGAGGATCGTCACGGCGTCCGCGAGCGTCGCGCCGCGCGGCAGCGCCCGCCCGTTGACGGCGAGGAGCGTGTCGCCCACGCGCGGCTTCGGCGCCGCGACACGCTCCGCCGACGAAAAGTTCGAGATGACGAGCCCCCGGGCCTTCCGCGTGAGGAGGATGCCCAGCGGGCCCGGCCCGAAGGACACGACGTCGACGCCGACCTCCGCGGCGGCGCAGTGCGGGTCCAGCACGTGGGCCGCGAGCTCCACCAAGTTGCGCTCGCCGCGGACGCACGACGCCTCCAATATCGCCGCGTACAACCGCCGCATGTCCGCGTCGTCGTCGATCTGGAACGCGAGGAGCGGCGCCCGGCAGCGCACGAGCAGCACGCAGAGCGCCGCGGCGGCCATGCCCTCGGGCCGCTCCTCCTCGAGGAGCGCGCGCCAGACGCCCGCGGCGTCCGACTCTGGAAGCGCCGAAGCGAACAGCGAGTCGAAGAACGCGGCGCGCAGCACGCCCCGGTCCACGGCGCCGACGGCGCCGACGAGCTCGGGGTCGACGCGCGGGAGCAGCTCGCCGAGGCACCGGTCGAAGAGCCCGTCCTGGCCGCCCGCGAGGCCCTGGAGCCGCCGCGTCGCGGACCGGAGCATCGCCTGGGCAGGACAAGAGAGATTCAACGTCGCTTCAACGTGAGTGTTCCGCGCGCGCGCGTTCCGGGGAAAGCATTCACGCTTCGAGACCGTTCCAAGAGATGATCGCTCGTCCAAAAATCAGCCGAAACGAGTGGAAAACGGCCGAGAAAGGAGCCTTTGAAGTTGGGAATTTCGCTCTCTTGTCCTGCCCGGAGCATCGCCAGCGCCTGGCTCTCGCAGCTCGGCCGCCCCGCCTCCAGCGCCCGGCGCGCCGCGGACCCCGGCGGCGCCGCGAGGCACAGGGCCAGCGCGGCGACGGCCAGCGCGTCCTCGAAGCCGTCGGCGTCGTACGCGCCCGCGACGGCGCGCGCGGCCGCGCGGCCGCCCGCGGTGCCCGCGAGCGCGCCGAGCGCGCTGCCGGGCCGCGCGCCGTCGAAGCGCGCGGCGCTCTCGTCGTCCTCGCCGCAGGGCACGACGTCGACGAGGTCCGCGCCCGCGACGCCCAGCAGGTCGAGCCACTGCGTCGCGAGCGCGTCGGGCGCCGGCGCGGCGGCCGGCGGCGCCGCCGGCGGCGGCGCCGCGGCGGCCGGGGCGGCCTCGTCGTCGGAGCTGTCGCCCATGAGCCGCGTCCCGCCGCCCAGCGCCTTGCGCAGCATCGTGTCCGGGCTCTCGACGCGCGGCGGCGGGGGCGGCGGCGTGCGCTTGGCCGACGGCGGCAGCGGCGGCGGCGGCGTCCGCACCTGGAACAGCGGGTCCGGGTCGTCCTCGAGGCTGATGTCCTCCATGGTGTTTTTCCTTGCTGTGGCGGCGCCGACGGGCGCGTCGCCGGCACGGGCGCTGCTGCGGCGCGACGGCGACGTGCGTCTCGCAGAGCCTCACGATTCGCGTCTTGCCGCAGAGAGCGGTGCGTCCGACGCCAGTGGCACCGCCGCGCCGGCGCGCACCGAGCGCCGCGTCGACGATGTCGGAGCTGCTCCGCCGGCACACGTCGACGCGCATGGTGGCGACGACGCTGGACAGCCTCGAGCGCACGTCGCGCGACGCGGCGCAGGCCGCGGAGAAGGCTCTGGACGCCGTCATCGAGGAGGCCGGCGCGCTCACCTTCTTCGGCCTGACGCAGGTGTCGGACAGCGCCGCGCGCAAGTTCGTCGAGTTCGGGCTGTGGACGCGCGGCCACGGCGGCTTCCCGGCGACGTTCGGCCGCAAGGTCGTCGTCTACGGGGCTTTGGGAGCGCTCGGCGCGTCGCTGCTGTATCGCCTCGGCGCCGTCGACGGCGCGCTGCGGCGATTGGCCGAGCGCGCGTGCAGCGACGCCCTGGGCACGCGGGTGACGATCCGGTCCCTGTGCTGCGCGCTGGCGCGCGGCGAGGTCACGGTCCGCGGGCTCCGGGTCGACGCGTGGCCGCGCGGCGACGACGACGCGGCGCCGCCGCCGGGCCCCGCGCTGAGCGTCGGGTCGTTCACGGTCGGCTGGAGCTCGTCGCTGGTCGCGCGCGCCTTCCGGCGGCGCGACGAGGCCGCGGCGCCGTTCCGTCTGGACGCGCTCGAGGTCGAGGCCGTCGACCTGCGCCTGCACCGCGAGGCCGACGGCGCGCTGAACTGGGCGTCGGCCCACGCGGCCGTGCGCGCGCGGCGCGCGTCGTCCCACGTGCTCGAGCTCCACACGACGTCGAGCTCCGAGGAGACGTCCGACGACGACGCGCCGCCCGTGTCGCGGTTCCTGCTTCCTTTGGAGGACTCGTCGTCCGAGGGCGAGCCGAGCGACGCGGAGACGAAGAGCCCGCGGCCCGGCGCCTACGGCGCGCGCTGGTGGCGCAAGCGCGACGTCGACCGCATCGCCCAGGCCTGCGGCGCGTCCTACGCGGCGACGAAGAAGGCGTTGGAGCGCACGGCGCGCCGCGTCGCGCCGCCCGACGGCGCGGTCCGCGAGGCGACGCGCGCGCTGCGCCGCGCCAAGGCCCGGGCCGTGGCCCGGGCCGACGCCTTCGAGCGCTGGGCCTGCGACCACGCCAAGGACGTGCTCCGCCACGTCGTCGTGAATCTGGCGCACAACCTGTCCGCGAGGGCGCACCACCCCGTGCCCCGGGCGGCGCCCGCGTCCGACGACGACGAGCCGCCGCCGGCCGCCGACGCGGCGCCGGAGCCGGACCGCGCGCTCTTCGTCGTCGGGTCCATCGGCGTGCGCGACTTCACGCTCGAGCTCTACGACTGCCCCGTGACGCTGGACCGGTGCTTCGTCGGCGAGGCGGACCTCGTCCTGGACGACGCGATCCTCGAGCAGTACGGCGCGCGGCCGCGGGGCGACTGCCGCGCGTTCACGGCGCCGGAGATCGGCCTCGCCTTCGCGGAGAAGCTCATCGAGACGCTGCTCGTGGACCACCCGACGCTCGCGCTGAACCTCGCGGCGGCCCTGAGCCGGGACCTCGTCGCGCGGAAGTCGAACGCGTCCCGGCCGCTCAAGCGGCGCTTCCTCGCGCACCGCCGCGCGGCGAAGAAGCGCAAGAAGCGCGAGGCCGCGGACGCCGGCGGGGACGCGCCCAAGGGGTGGCTCGCCTGGCTGCGGGGCGCCTAGGCCGCCGGTGCTAACGCGCTCTTACGCGGGGCGTCCTCCGCGCCGCCTCCCGTCTAGCAGGTCCCGCGCTCGGGCTCGACGAAGACGAGGTCGCCCCGCTTCGTGCGGCCGTGGTCGACGTAGGCCGCGCGGTGGGAGCTCTCCCACTCGCCCATGCCGTGGTCGCCGGAGGGCCCGCCGTGGATGCCCGGGTCGGGCCGCACGGTGACGGCCACCTTCTCGACGTACTCGTCGGCGTACTCCGTGGCGCGCCAGGGCGCGCCGGGCAGCTTGTCCGGGAAGTCGCAGCCCCAGCTGCCGCGCTTGGGCTCGTCGACCTTGGGCCCAAGGAAGTGCGCGGCGTACGTCGACCGGTACTCCTGCGTCCACGGCCGCGGGATCTCGCGGACGTCCTCGCCGGGGTGGGGCTTGGCGTTCCGGGGGTGGGCGACGTAGTCGCACTCGTAGGTCGTCTTGCCCGTGAGGCAGCCGTCGGGCGCGCGGTCGGGGACCTCGGAGGGCAGCGCGTCGCGCGGCGGCAGCGCCTTCGGCGTGAAGTGCGACCGGTACGTCGTGCGGTAGCACCAGGCGCTCATGTCCGGCAGGGGCTCGCCCTCGAGCTCCAAATCGCCCGCCGGGCCCCGGGGGGCGCGCGCGGGGTGCGCGACGTAGTCGCGCCGGTAGACCGTCAACCCGTCGAAGATGGAGCCGAGCTCCTTCAGCGAGAGCCGGCGCCCGGCGGGGTCCACGAGGATGATGACGTCGCGGTCGCGGACGATGCCGTACTGGGCCTCGTTCGTGATGCGCACGTTCGGCGACGACGCCGGGATGTGCCCGTCGGCGCCGGAGTCGAGGTACATCTCGCAGTAGCAGCCCATGGCCTGGTGGCAGCGCCGCTGGAGCTCGCCGAACGTCGCCGGCAGGGCCATGGCCTCGCGCCGCGCCGCGTCGCCGTAGACCATCTTCGGGACCTTCCCGTGCATCGACGACATGGCGGACGACGACGATAGGCCGTGCCGTGCCCCGCAATGATGAAACGGCGCTGCGCTGCCGAGGCACATTGAGGTTCATATATTCCGCGACGGTGCTGCCACAAAACATCGGGGTCAAGCCGCTACGCGCGCCGCGCCGCAGCGGCGGGAGACCATGCCGTACGACTCGGGATCGCCGCCACCGTCGGCGGGCGCCGACGAGGGGGGACGCGTCGTCCAGCTCCAGCAGGGCCAGGCGCGCTCCGCAGCGCCGCGCGACCGCGCGACCGCCGCAGCGATGGCACCCCCCGCGCGCAGGAGCTCCGCGACGAGTTCACGTGCCCGATCACGCGGCAGCTCATGCGCGCGCGTCGCCCGGCGCCCGCGGCGCGCGCGCGCGGCTGGCCGCGAGCGACCGCGCGACTTCCGCAGGTGCCGGTCATCGCCGCGGACGGCCACACCTACGACCGGTCGGCCATCGAGCGCTGGCTGCTCCACCACGACAACTCGCCCAAGACCGGCGAGCGCCTCGAGCACCGCATGCTCGTGCCGAACCACAACCTAAAAAGACTCGTCGACGACCTCGTCCTCGAGGGCGGCGCGGGCCTGTACAGCTCCGCGGAGGGCGGCGCGACGCCCTCGTGCGACGCGCGCGAGGAGCGCAAGACCTTCGAGACGGCCGACGACGGCATGCCGAGGCCGCCGTCGAGCGCCGGGCGGCCCGGCGGCCGCCGCGCGGAGCTCGCGTCCGAGCCCGTGTTGCTGCTCCAGTGCCTCGGGCCGCCCGCAGGGCAGCAAAAGAGAGCGAAATTCCCAACTTCAAAGGCTCATATCTCGGCCATTTTCCACTCGTTTTGGCTAATTCTTGGACGAGCGATCATCTCTCGGAACGGTCTCGAAGCGTGGATGCTTTTTCCGGAACGCGCGCGCGCGGAACACTCACGTTGAAGCGACGTTGAATCACCCTTTTGCTGCCCAGGCCGCCCGAGTCCGAGTGGAACGGCCGGTCCTTCGAGGTGTCGAAGAACGGCGTCGTCGGCGGCCGTAGGAGGCCGTCGGCGAGCGGCGGCGCGCCCGACGACGGCGGCGGCATCGGCGACCGCGACTTCATGCCGTTCGCCGACTCGACGGTGTCGCGGCGCCACTTCGAGATCGGCCACGACGGCGGCCGCTTCGCCGTGCGCGACCTGGGCTCGGCGTCGGGCACGTTCCGGCGGCTCCGCAACGGCGCCGAGGCGCCCCTCACGCTCGGCGCCATGGCCATGATCGGCAAGCACCAGCTCTGCGTCGTCTCCGACTCCGCCGGCGCCGCCGGCGCCGGCGAGGCCGCGCTCGGCCTCGAGTGCTTCGCGCCCGACGGGAGCCCGCTCCAGGGCAAGATCTTCAAGATCACGGACAAGGGCGCGACGCTCGGGCGGCGGACGACCAACGCCGTGGCCTTCTCCCACGTCGTCGACGGCGAGGCCGTCGGCGTCGACAGCTCCGTCTCCGCCGAGCACGCGCGCGTCGTCTTCGCCGGCGGCGGCTTCCGCCTCGCGGACGGCACGTCCGCGGGCAAGTCGTCGACGAACGGCACCTGGATCCGCCTGAGCGGGCTCCACGAGAAGAGCGACCGCTGCGACCTCGAGAGCGGCGACGAGCTCCTCATCGGGACGATCCGCTTCCACGTCACGGCGACGCACACCGTCGTCGAGCGGCCCCTCTAATGAACATGCTTGGTTAGCGCGAGGCCGCTTCCTTGGCCGCGGCCTTGCAGGCCTTCTTGTGGCCCGGCCACGCGAGCGCCTGGCACTCGCCGCCGCAGTAGGCCGCGCGCTTGCAGCGCGCGCACTGCCGGAGCTTCCGGAAGTCCTTGCCGCAGTGGTCGCAGGTCGTCAGGGCCTTGGCGCCGACCGCGGCCTGGCCCCGGGGGCCGTAGGCGCCCATGTCGCGCTCGCCCGCGCGGCGGATCGCCATGCCCTCCTCGCCGACGGTCGGCACCATGAGCTTGTCGACCTCGCGGTCCGGCCCGGCGTCGCGCCGGACCTGCTTCCGCAGCGCCGCGTGGTGGTCCAGGAAGCCGTCGAGCACGTTCTTGTAGGAGGACTCGCCGTAGACGCAGGGGTCCATGGAGATGGGCTTCAGCGCCTGCACGTACGCGCGCGCCTCGGCCTTGAGGCGCCGCATGCGCAGGAGGTCCACGTAGCCCGGCGCCGAGATCAGGCACCCCGCGTGCTCGATGCGCGACGTCGCGGAGACGATGTCGTTGCCCCGCGCGTCCGCGCGGACCAGCGCGGCGAGGAAGTGGTCCGCGGCCTCGGCGTGGCCGTCCGCGCGCCCCGACTGGACGCGCTCCTGCGCGACCCAGCCGAGGTTCCAGTGGCCCCGCGCGTCGTCGCCGTCGAAATCGACCTGGCGCCGCGCGAGCGCCTCGACGGCGTTGAGGAGCTCGGCGGTCGTCGGCGCCCGCGCGCCGGGCGCGCCGCCGCGGTCGCCCTCGGGCGACCGGTAGAGCCGCCGGTTGACCTTGACGCCGAACGTCGCGACGGCGAAGCGGACGTCGCGCGCCGTCACGCCCGCGAAGGGCCCCTCGACGCTGCCGCCGTCCGCCGCGGCCGCGGCGTCGAGGGCGGACAGGTCCACGCTGCCGGCGTCCAGGTGCGCGAGCAGCTCGTGGCAGACGCGGCGCCCGTTCGCGCGCACGGCGCCGTCGTAGTTGTTGCTGATGTAGACGCCGCACGCGAGCGCGATAAAGACCGCGGGGTCCAGCCGGCAGAGGCACATCTCGCCGGTGAACGCAAAGTCCTCCGTGACGTGGAAGAACGCCTCGGGCAGGCGCAGCGCCTGGAGCGTGTGGCCCATGGCGCCGATGCGGCTGTCGGAGAGGACCATCGCGCGCAGGAGGGCGGCGAAGGCCTGGGTCCGCATCGCCTCCCCTCGTCGGACCGCATGTCGGCCATCATCGCCAGCACGCCGGCGCGCTTCGAGCACTCCGCGGCGAGCCGAAAGTCCCGGGGGAAGGGGCGGTCGTCCTCCCAGGCGAGGATCGCGGCGAAGGGATCGGGCTGCTGGCTCATCAGCGCTTCCATGAGCCGGGCTTCGTTCCGCTCGCGGGCCATGGCTTTGAATGGACGTGTCCGCGGGGTTGGCGTGGCGACGCGGTCGGAGGTTGCGCGGGGCGGCGGCTGGACGCGCGCGGGCGAGCTGCCCAGACTGTGAGAGTAGAGTGAGAGCTACAAAAAATGCTCAAGATCGACCTCGTGAGGTTTGGAGCAGCCCGCAACGCGATAACATGGTCTGCTAGTAAGAGGAGATTGTCCCCACGCCATCGCGACAATGGGCTGCTGCACCTGGGATGTGGGAGAGGCCGAGAACCCGGACATCCGGGGCTACCTGCTGAACAACGTGGGCCGCGGCCTGCTCTTCATCAGCCAGCTCTTCCTGTTCAACGCCATGCTCAGTTTCGCCAACGACGCCGCGGGCTGCACGACGGGCGGCACGGGCTGCGAGGACGACGACGACGACGACGCGGTCGCGTTCGTCAACGGCACGGCGATCTTCGGCGACGACGACGACGACGACGCCTGCGGGCGCATCCTGGGCCTCAAGCCCGTGACGTTGGTCGTGCAGGTCATGGCGCTGGGCTCGCTCGTCTCCGCGACGTTCATGCCCGTCGTGGGCTCCGTCGTCGACCACAGCCCGCACCGGCGGCGCCTGGGCATCGCGGGCCTCGTCGTCGCCTGGCTCTGCTCCCTCGCGCAGACGGGCATCGCGGCGGCGTCGTGGCTCTTCCTGCTGCTGCTCCAGGGCTCCGTCGCCTCGGCCGCGTACCTCACGAACGTCGTCTGCGCCATGGCCTACATGCCGGAGCTCACGGACGACCTCGACGGCCACATGCAGCGCATCAACGCCAAGGCGCGCGTCCTCGAGCTCGCGAGCATGCTCGTCTTCATGAGCCTCGTCGCGACGGTCGAGGGCTCCGACTCCGTCGGCGTGCGGGACACGGCGCGCTTCGCCCAGGCGCTGAGCTGCCTCGTCGGCGGCCCCATCGCCCTCGCGAGCTGGCGCTACCTGACGCCGCGGCCGACGGCGCACGCGGTGCCCGAGGGCGCGTCGCTGCTCACCGCGGGCTTTTTGAAGGTGCGGGAGACGGCGTCCATGCTCGCGGCGGACTTCCCCCAGCTCTACCGCTTCCTCCTGGCCTTCGCGGTCATGGAGGCGGGCACGTCGTCCATCATCGGCCTCGTCGTCGTCTACGTGTCGCAGCAGCTCTGCCTCGAGGTCGGGCCCGTGCTCACGCTCGCGATCCTCTTCACGATCCCCGGCGCGCTCTTGAGCCGGAAGCTCGCCGCGGGCGGCCGCGCCAAGGAGGCCCTCTTCGGGAACTGCCTGTCCTTCGCGGTGCTCATCGCCGCGATCCCGGCGTGCCTCTACGACAACTCGCACGCGCCGCTCGTGCCGCTCTTCTCCGCGACGCTGGGCCTCGCGGTCGGCTTCATGTACCCGGCGCAGCGCAACGTCGTCGCCGTGCTCATCCCCGGCGGCCTCGAGGGCCGGGTCATGGGCATCTACCAGTTCGCGTCCATCTCGCTCGGATGGGCGCCGCCCCTCATCTTCGGCCTCGTCTACGAGGCGACGGGCTCCATGCGCATGGCCATCGTCACGCCGGCCTTCTTCCACGGCGCCGCGGCCGTCTTCCTGCAGTGGGGCGTCGACATGACCACGGGGGGCGACCGCGTCACCGCGACGCTCCACAAGCGGCGCCGGTCGACGTCCGGCGGCGACCTCGTCGGCAAGAACCGGGCCCAGGTCGAGCCCGTCCTGTCGGATAAGGAGGCCACCTAGCGTTACCAGAGCGCGGGCGTCGCGAGCCAGGCCGCCTCGGCGAACGCGCGCGGCGGCGGCGGCGGCGCGGCGGCGACGTCGGCGCAGAGGTCCCCCGCGCCCGTGCGGCACGCGCCCTCGCCGCCGAAGCGCAGCGGCGGCTTGAGCCAGCCCCGCCCGTCGAAGTACGCGTCGAGCGACCGCCGCGCGGGCGCCGACGCGTCGAGCCACCGCCGCAGCGTCGGCGCGACGTCGCCGAAGGCCGCGCCGCCGTAGATGGCGACGAAGGCGTCGCGCGACGGGACGATGCGGAACAGGATCTTCGCGATCGCGCGGTGCGCGGCGGAGTTGTAGGGCGCCGTGACGGCTTCGTACGCGTCCAGCGAGCAGCGGTAGAGCGACGCGTCGCCGTCGTCCAGCAGGTTCTCGAAGGTGCCGGCGATCTGCTGGAAGATGCGGTTCGTCCAGAAGAGCGCGCGCGCCGCGCTGTCGGGATGCGTGATGTCGGCGTCGGCGAGCGGCAGGCGCCCGACGTCGCTCGCGTCCGTCGCGCCGAGGCGTTCCAACTTGCGCACGTTGCCCAGCAGATCCTTCCGCGCCACATGGCCGAAGAAGGACCCGTAGGCGTCGAAGGCGGGCATCAACGCCTCCGCGGCGCGCATGAGCGGCTCGGCAGCGACGCCCGACGGGACGGCGCCGCGCCGCAGGGCGCACCGGTCGAAGTTCTCGGCGCTCGAGACGAGGGCTTGGAGGGCCGGGGTATTTTCGGGCTCGGCGGCGCGGGCGACGAGGAGGGCGAGGAGGAGGCGCATGTTGAGCACGCGTCGAGGCGAGGGACGACGAGTTGCGGCACGCGTCGAGCGCTCGAGTCTCGAGCGGTTGTGGCAGCGCCGCAGCGCTCGCTGAAACAGCTCGGAGCTCGACAGCCTCTCCAAAATGGCGCCCACCAACCTCCGCGCCCAGCTGCGCAACGAGCCGCTGGGCTGGCTCATGGAGGAGCTCTGCGTCAACACACCGCCCGCGCCGACGACCGGCGACGACCGGGCCCTCCTGGGCCGCATCGCCGGCCTGCGCAAGCGCGTCGAGGCCCTCGAGAAGAAGCGCGGCGCCGGCGCGAGCGCCGGCGCGCGGCGCGCCGTCGCCGACGCGCGGGCCAGCGCGTCCACCGTCTGCACCAAGTGGGTCGGCGCGAATTATTATGGTAAGCCCATGCGGTCGCGCGCGGCTGAGCTCGGCTGCGACGTGCGGCAGATGACGAAGACGATGCTCGTCGAGAACAAGCAGTGGCGCGGCGACGACCCCTTCGCGCGGGAGAACGCGAAGCACTACCTCGTCGTCGTCCAGTACGCGGCGGCCTACGACGCGCAGCGCATGCGTTCGGCGCTCTCCGCGAGGACGGGCCTCTCGAAGAACCAGTTCAACTTCCGCGTCGCCGACGAGGCGACGATGGCGGCGCTGTCGGGCTTCGAGCACAACGCCGTGACGCCCTTCGGGATGGCGGAAAAGCGCGTGCCCGTGGTGCTCGCGTCCGCGGCGCGCGACGCGCCGGGCGGGTTTATTTGGATGGGCGCGGGGCACACGGATCTGAAGCTCGGCGTGACCGTCGCCGACTTCCTGAAGCGCTTCGACCCCCTGGTCCTCGACGTCTCCGCGCCGCGCGACGAGCGCGAGTGGGACGCGGCGCCCGGCGGCGACGCGGCGCGAGGCGAGAAGGAGAAGAAGGAGAAGGCGCCTCCGAAGGAGAAGAAGGACAAGGCGCCGGCGCCCAAGGGCGGCAAGACGCCCAAGGCCGCGGAATTCGCCGACCACGGCGACGACGACGACACGGCCGCGTCCCGCCTGGCCCTGGTCGTGGGCCGCATCGTCGAGGCCTGGCCGCATCCCGAGAGCGACAAGCTCTTCTGCGAGAAGATCGACTGCGGCGAGGCCTTCGGGGGCGTGCGGTCCATCGCGTCGGGCCTCCAGGCCTTCTACAAGGTCGAGGACCTGAAGGACCGCCTCGTCTTAGTCATCGCGAATCTGAAGGCCAAGAAGCTCGGCGGCTTCCCGTCCCAGGGCATGGTGTTGTGCGCGTCGAACGCGGCCCACGACCGGGTCGTCTTCGTGGACCCGCCGGCGGACGCCCGGCCCGGCGACCGCGTCGCCCTCGAGGGCCTCGACAACCCGCCCGCGTCCGACGCGCAGACGGACAAGAAGAAGCTGTTCCTCAAGGCCCAGCCCCACTTCACGACCAAGGGCGGCGTCGCCTACTACAAGGGCAAGGCGTTCGCCGTCGGCGGCGCCAACTGCACGGCGCCCGCGGAGGACGGGTGGGCGATCTCGTGAGAGGAGTAAAACATAAGCAACACACGGTTAACTAATGGTCAACATGAACTCAGCCGGCACTTCAACATCGGACGAAATGTCTTGGCGGGATCGATCGTTCGAACGAGCGTCTGGTGCTCTCTGAGTGAGCGCCAGTTGGCCCGCCGCGCGCGTCCTCTCGCCCCCCGCAACGCCGCGACGATGATCGTGTCGAACCGGCGCCAGCAGGCGACGCCGCGGACGCCGGCCGTGGTGTCGCGCCACGTGCTCGTGTCGCTCTACGAGCGGCCGCCGCAGACGGAGCTGACGCTGGACGAGTTCGAGATCTACGCCGTGGACCGGCTGAAGATCCTGCGGACCATCGACGCGCTGAAGCAGAAGGGCTTCAAGCCCCGCGAGCTCGAGGCGGAGCTCGCGCCGGTGCTCGCGCAGGCGCTGCCGCTCCGGGGCTCGGCGGAGCACGTCAAGGCCGACGAGCGCAAGGACCAGGTGAGCCACTTCATCCTGCGCCTGGGCTACAGCCGCACGGAGGAGATGCGGCGCTGGTTCCTGACCCAGGAGTGCGCCCTCTTCAAGCACCGCCTCGGCACGCTCAGCGGCCCGCAGCTCGGCCTCTTCCTCGCGGCGAACGGTCTGAAGTTCGAGGAGGTGTCCGACGCGGACGTCGACGCGCGGTCCGTCGCGCTCTCGAAGATCTCGAAGACGGGCGACGGCGGCGCCGCGGGCTACTACCGCGTGCCCTTCGTCGAGGCCATCGACCTCATCGGCCGCCGCGAGGTCTACCTCGAGAAAGGCTACGCGTACGTGCCCGCGGCGAAGCTCCACGCGATCGTCGTCGCGCGCTTCCGCAGTGCCCTGTCCCGGTCCCTCGCCAAGGCGTCGTCGTCCCTCGCCGCCGCCGCCGGCGACCCGCGCCTGAGCCCGCTGCTCAACAACATCGAGAAGCACGACCTGTCGAACGGCAAGGATTTAGAGGACGACGACGTCGAGGGCATCCACCCGGAGCAGATCGACGCGCTCGCGAAGCAGTCCATGCCCCTCTGCATGCAGCAGCTCCACGGCGCCCTCAAGCGCGACCACAAGCTCAAGCACTGGGGCCGGCAGCAGTACGGCCTCTTCCTGAAGGCCGCGGGCCTTTCGATGGAGGACCAGCTCCGCTTCTTCCAGGCCGAGTTCACGAAGATCATGACCGTCGACGCCTTCTCCAAGGAGTACGCCTACAACATCCGCCACCGCTACGGCAAGGAGGGCAAGCGCACGGAGTACAGTCCCTACGGCTGCTACAAGCTCATCATGGACATGGCGCCCGGCCCCGGCGAGTACCACGGCTGCCCCTACAAGCACTACGACGACGACCACCTCGCGTCCATCCTCGGCGCCATGGACATCTCGCGCGAGTCGTCCCAGGCCATCCTCGGCCAGGCCAAGTCGAAGAACTACCAGCTCGCGTGCCAGAAGCACTTCGAGGTCACGCACCCCAAGGCCGCGGGCGTCGCCGCGCGGCCCGACGGCGTCGGCAACCACCCCAACGCCTGGTTCAAGGCGAGCCGCATCTACCACAAGGAGGTCCACGAGGCCAAGAACCCGGACGCGGTCAAGCAGGTCGAGCCCGCCGCGGCGCCCGCGGCCGCGCCCGCGGTGCTCCTCGCGAACTAGGCCAAGCCCCCTAAGTCGCACGTTCGAACTACTCGTGCTGCGCGCCTACCGGGGAGTCGCACCAGCGCCGGGACGCGCGTTAAGGTCGTCCCCGCGCCACACACAGCCGGAACTTCGGCGGCCCGGAAGGCCCCCCCTAGTTCCCCGTCTTGAGCTTCTTGATCTGGGCCTCGTAGTCGGTCGCCTCCTTGATGCACTCGTCGTCGTCGACGGGCGTGTAGATGAGCGTGCGGTCGCGGTCGTGGAGCTCGATCTGGTAGGGCGCGAGGAACTCGGGCCCGAACTCGGGCTCGCGGTAGGGCCGCGCGATGATCGTGCCGCGGCACCAGTCGCCGCGGCGGTTCGCCATGACCTCGTCGCCGACCTTGAAGCGGAGCTTGGCCTCGTAGGCCGCGTAGTTCTCGGGCGTCGCGAGGCAGGCGAGGAAGCCCGCCTTGAGCGCCGCGTGGTCCAAATTCTTGCCGATGAGCGTGAGCTTCGTCGACCGCGCCTCGTTCGGCGCCCAGGGCTCGATGAAGTGGCCGTTGTAGATCATGTGGACCGCGTGGAAGGCGTAGCGGCAGGGGAGGCCCACGGCGTCGAGCACGCCCTTCATGCGGAACAGGTCCGCGCCCTTGGTCCGCATCAAGCCGTCGAGCCAGTTGTTGTAGAGCCCCAAGTCCACCGCGGAGCCGGGGCTCGGCAGGTCGATGCCCAGGGACGTCACGGAGGCGTCGTGCTCGTGCTCGCCGTCCGTGTTGAGGAACTCGGGGTCCATGTCCAGCGTCCGCTTCAAATCGAACGCGCCGATGTTCAGCACCTGGTCCGGCGACACCTTGCTCTGCTCGCAGCGGACGATGGGCGCGAACTTGTTGATGGCCCGGAGCCGCGCCGCCACGGCCTTGCGCTCGCCCTCGTCGGGCACGAGGTCCATCTTGTTGAGGATGAGGCGATCCGCGAACGCGACCTGCTCGACGGCCTCGTTCTCCGCGCCCTCGGGCTTCTCCTCGTCGAGGTGCTGGACGATGTGCTTGACGTCGACGAGGGTCACGATGCCGTCGAGCTTCGCGAACTGCTTGATCTCCTCCTCGACGAAGAAGGTCTGGGCCACGGGCGCCGGGTCCGCCATGCCCGTGGTCTCGATGACGATGCCGTCGAGCGGGTTGAAGTCGTGCTTGAGCTTGAGCTTCTTGAGCACGACGGCGAGGTCCGCGCGCACCGTGCAGCAGATGCAGCCGTTCATCATCTCGATGAGCTCCTCGCCCTCGACCTGCTGCTTCATGTTCTGCTTCAGGAGATGCTCGTCGATGCCGACGTCGCCGAACTCGTTCTCGATGACGGCGATGCGCTTGCCGTGCTGCGCCGTGAGGATGTGGTTCAGCAGCGTCGTCTTCCCGCTGCCGAGGAAGCCCGTCAGGATCGTCACGGGCACCTTCTCCGGGCTCCGCACGCCACTGAGGAAGGGGTCGGCCATGGCTGGTGCGCGCGGTTCCGTGCGCGCGGTGGACGGCGCGCGCGACTGTGGCAGTTGTGAGGCGACTACTGCGAGCTCGCTTGAGTGGCTCGTCGACTGGGCGCGCGGCTGTCGCGTTATCCAGACGGCTTCGCAGGATGGCTATAGGGGCGCGCGGCTTCGGCCCGAAGTGCACGATGCCTCGACGTTGAGGCCCGTCGGTTGACGCTCGCACAAAACGCTGCCCGCCATGGCGTCGCTCGCGGAGTCCACGCAGCCCGCAGACGACGCTCAATCGCTCACACACCCCACGGAAGGCGCACCACTCGCCAAGGCGGACGAAAACATTGAAAACGCGCAGTCGCCGGAGGACATGCACACCAAAACCACCGAGCCAGACGAAGGACCCGCCACCAAGACCACCGAGCCAGAGGAAAGACCCGACGCCGCGGCGAAGAAGCGCGCGAAGAACAAGGCCAAGAAGGCGCGCCAGAAGGCCAAGGCCAAGGCGCCGGCGCACCGCTACGTCGACGCGACGGAGCGCCGGGCGTCCGGCCCCGGCCGCGGCATGGGGCTCTTCGCGACGTCGGCCGCGCGGCCCGGCGACGTCGTGTCGCGCGCCGTGCCCGCGCTGTCGACGATCTTCGACGCGCACGCCGCGACCGTCTGCGGCTTCTGCTTCCGCGCCGGCGGCGCGCCCGAGGAGCGGAGCGTAACCCTAGCGAAGAAGGACGGCCGCGTCGGCGTCTTCGTCAACGAGAGCGTCGTCGACTCCGAGACGCGCGCCGTCGTCGCCGCGCTCTCCAAGGACGGCCCGAACGCCGGCGCGGATCTGCGCGACGGCGACGTCATCGTCGCCGTCGACGGCGCGCCGCTCGCCGGCGGCGCGGGCGCGCGGGAGAAATGCCTCGCGGCGCTCGCCGCGGCCGGCGACGCGCCCGAAGTCGCGATCCGCCGCCCCGCGCTCCGCGCCTGCCGCGGCTGCGGCCGCTTCGCCGTCTGCCGCGGCTGCGACGACCGGGGCCGCCGCGCGTGGCACGAGCACGAGTGCGCCGCGTTCCGATCCCTGCCGGCGTCGGCGACCAGGGGCGAGACGTCGCCCCTGCGCATGATGCTCCGCTACCGCGCCATCGCCGCGGCCGGCGACTGGTGCGCGCCCTGCGACGGCGGCGGGCCCAAGGAGCCCCTCGCGCTCGTCGAGACGTTGCAGGCCTCCGCGGACGTCGTCCCGCCGGCGCAGCGCGCGGCGCTCTCCAAGGTCGCCGGGATCCCGGAACCCGCCGTGGCCCAGATCATCGGCCAGATCCGCGGCAACGCCGGGGCCATCTTCCGCGGCGGCGCCAAGGTGGGCTGCGCGCTGGGCGTCCACATGGGCTACACGAACCACGACTGCGACCCGAACTGCGCGGCCACGGTCGACGACGACGGCTACGTCGCGCTCTCGGCGCTGAAAGCTATTGATGTGGGCGCCGAGCTCACGATCTCCTACGTCGACGCGGGCCTGCCGCGCGAGGAGCGGCGGCACATCCTGAAATCCCACTACGAGTTCGACTGCGCGTGCGCGCGCTGCTCTTCGGAGGCGCGGGACGCGCTCCGCGCGCGCGCGCGGACCCGCGGCAAGGACCACTACGCGAACACGTCCAAGCTCGCCCGCGACGCCTACCTCCACAGCTCCCGCTCCAAGGGCGGGAAGAGCACGGGTGTGTAGGGGCGTTTGTGCTTTTAGCGATGCGTCCTAGAGGTGGGCCCCGATGACGCCGCGGATGACGTCCCGGACGTCGGCTCGGCTCCGCAGTTCGTCCGGGACGCAGGCGCGAAGCAGCGCGGCGACGACCAGCGCGGCCTTGCGCTTGGCGTGATCGCCCGCATCGCGCACGACCGACAGCTCGTCGACGGTCACGCGGCCGCGCCGCGCGAGCTCGACGAGCGCCTCGAGGCCGACGGTCGCTGCGATCGCGACAGCGTTGGCGTCGGAGTTCCACGCGAGACTGTCCAGCGCCCGCGCGGCCTCCGCTTTGGCCTCCGCGCTCCCGTCGCGCAGGAGCTCGACGAGCGGCGCGATGCCGCCCGCGCCGGCGATCAGGACCTGGTTGTCGCCGTTGTCGCAGCCGAGGTTGCGCAGCGCCCACGCGGCCTCCAATTTGGCGTCCGCGCTCCCGTCACGGACGAGCTGGACGAGCGGCGGGATGCCGCCGGCCTCGGCGATCAGGACCCGGATGGCGTCGTTGCACGAGAGGTTGCACAGCGCACACGCGGCCTCCTCTTTAGCGTCCGCGCTCCCGTCGCGCAGGAGATCGACGAGCAGCGGGATGGCGCCGGCCTCGGCGATCAGGACCCGGTTGTCGTCGTTGCACGCGAGGTTGCGCAGCGCCCACGCGGCGTCCGCAATGGCCTCCGCGCTCCCGTCGCGCAGGAGCTCGACGAGCAGCGGGATGCCGCCGGCCTCGGCGATCGCGACATCGTTGGCATCGTTGTCGCACGCGAGGTTGCCCAGCGCCTCCGCCGCCGCCGTCTTCGCTGCGTCGTCGCCCTCGCGCAAGGCGAGGACCAGCCCCTCGATCTCCGCCATGCTTGACCCCTTGACAAAACGCCGATGTTTCCCACTGCTTGCACATTCAACAAGTAGTAGGCAGAGCCGATGCGCACGTGAGAAGCAACGCAAGGCAGTGATCGCAGTCATGGCACGGTCGATGCGCACGTGAGAAGCGACGCAAGACAGTAGTCGCCGCATCCAGCCATGGCACGCACCGCAGGCCTCATGATGCTGGCCGCCTGCCTCGTCTCGCAAACGCACGCCTTGAGCATCGCGACGCTCCGGTCGTCGCTGCGCGCCGATCCGACGGCGGCGCAGGACTGGAAGGCGCTCGGCAAGCTCCTGTCCGACGCCGGCGAATTCGCCGAGGCGGACCTCGTCTTCCGCGCGGGCGCGGCGCGCTGCCCGGAGTGCGACGAGCTGCAGCACTTTGAGCGCGTCGCCGCGACGTTCCGCGGCGACGACGACGGCGAGCCCGTCGCGTGCCGCGCGGCCGACTTTATGTCCTTCGACGTGCCCGAGCCGCCCGCCGGGCTCGACTCCGGCCGCCGCGTCGTCCACGCGTCCAAACGGCCGCTCGTGGACAAACGCGCGTGCGCGGAGCTCGTCGCGGGCGCCGAGGCCGCCGCGGCCGCGCGCGGCTGGACGACGGACCGACACGCGCACGCCCCGACGTGCGACGTCCCGGCGCACGACCTGCCGCCGGCGGCCGCGGCCGTCGCGCGCGCCGTCGTGCGCCGGATCCTCTTTCCCTGCGCGACGACGCTCTTTCCGCGACTGGTGGACGCCGCGCGGCCGCCCGTCGTCCGCGACTGCTTCGTCATCCGCTACGACGCGGACGGCGACGCGCCGGGCTTCGCGTCGCTGAAACCGCACGTCGACGAGTCGCTCGTGTCCTTCACCGTGCCGCTCAACGAGCGGGACGAGTACGACGACGGCGGCCTCTTCGTGGCGCCGACGGGCGACCTCATCAACGGCGACGCGGGGTCCGTGCTCTGCTTCTACGGCGGCGTGCCCCACGGCGGCTACCCGATCTCGCGGGGCACGCGGCGCGTGCTCACGGCGTTCCTCGTCGCCGACGCGAACGCGTCCGGCAAGCCCCCGGGCTACGCGCTGCCCTAAGTTAGCCGGCCCAGGCGCTCGACGTCTTGACCTTCTCCGCGAGGGCGTTGACCTTGTCCTGGAGCGCCGTCGCCGCGGCCGCGTCCGTGAGCTCGCCCGCGGAGAAGACCGCGCCGTTCATGCCCTTGCCGCCCGTCTCCATGCCCTCCAGCAGGAGCTCGTAGGCGGCCTTGATCTCAAGGAAGCGCTCGTGGGCGGCCTCGCGGTCGTCGGGGTGCTTGTCCGGGTGGTACTGGAGCGACCGCTTGTGGTAGGCCTTTTTGATCTCGCCCGCGGTCGACAGCTTCCGCTCGGGGAGGCCGAGGACGCGGTAGAGCGCGGCGAAGCCGTCGACGCCCGTCTTCTCGCGGAGCATGGCCGTCCACTCCTCCTTGCGCTTCGCCCGCTTCTTCTCGTAGCCCTGCTTGCGCCGCGCCTTCTTCTCCGCCTCCGCGGCGTTGCCGAGCGCGGCCGTGAACAGCGGGCACTCGTGCTTCCGGTGTCCGATCTCGTGGCAGTACTGGCACTTGGCCATGGGGCAGTCCCGCTTGCTGTGGCCCCACTGCTTGCAGATGTAGCAGTGGGCCCGCGAGTTGATGTTGAGCAGCTCGCCCTCGTCGTCGCTGTCGTCCTCGAGCCGCTTCCGCTTCGATTGGCCGAAGTCGCCCGCGGCGCGCTCGGCCCTCGCGCGCTCCGTCGTGGAGATGAGGTCCTTCGCCGCCGCGGCCTCGGCCTCGGCCGTGAAGGCGTCGAGGGGGTCGAGGAGCGCCGCCGCGGCCTCCTTGGCGCGCGCCGCCGCGTCGGCGAACTGCGCGTTCGTCGGCTCGAGCGTCTCGGCCATCGCGAGCGACACGGACGCCTCCCGGACCTTCCCCAGCGCAAAGTAGGCTGAACCGAGGCGGAAGTGGCCCCAGGGCCAGTCGCCCTTGAGGGCGACGCAGGCCTTGGCGTGGCGCGCGGCCTCCTCGAGGTTGCCGACGCCGCCGACGCGGACGAGCGCGCCCGCGAGGTTCGCGCGCGTCTGGGCGACCCTGGGCTCCGCCGCGACGCTCGCGCGGAGCGCCGCGACGGCGCGCTCGAGCGTCGCCGCGCCCGTCTCCGGCGCCGGCGGCGGCTTGGGCGCCTCGGGCCGCGGCGCGAGCGCCTGGCAGACGGCCGCGCAGAGCGCCGCGGGCGTTCGCCGCTTCGACCCGCGGCATTCGACGGACGCGGACAGCTCCCGCCCCTCGAAGCGCCGCCCGTCCATGGACGCCGCGCAGGCCGCGGCGCCCCGGTTCTCGTCGTAGTAGCAGCGCACGCCGTCGCCGCCTAAGACGACGCGCCGCAGGTTGCCGAAGCCGCCGCACGCGTCCTCGAAGTCGCCGACGACCTCGACCTTGCTCAGGTCGTCGAGGTCGCCCGCGTCCGCGACGGCGTTGGCGAGCACGCAGCAGGGGTCGTCCTCGGGCGCCTCGCGGAAGTCGCAACAGCAGCGGCGGCCGTCGAAGGCCGCGCCGTCGAGCGCGACGGCCGCGGCCTGCGCCCCCGGCAACGTCGCGAAGGCGACGAGCACGCCGGCGCCGGCCGGTAAGGCGTCGAGGACGCGGCCGTACTCGCCGCACTCGACGCCGACGGCGCGCGCGACGTCGCCGCCGCCGGGCAGGCCCGAGAAGTGGAGCGCGACGGGCGCGTCCATGTTCTCGTAGGTCGCCGCCGCGGATCGCTCGACGCCGTTGCACGCGAAGCGGTAGCCGCAGGCCGCGGCGCCGGCGCCGTCCTCGAAGTAGACGCGCACCGTGCGGTCGGCGCCGGCGCCCGGCGCGAGGCGCACGTCGAGGACGCGCCCGAAGATCGACGCCGCGCCGGCGCAGCGCTCCTCGAAGGCCGCGACGGCGTCCGGGGCGTCCTGCCACGCGCCCGTCGCCGCGAGCGTGAGCACGCAGCACGGCGCCGAGGCGACGACGGACGACGCCGCCGACGCGAGGTCCATCGTTGCGCGTCGCGGCTGTGGACCGAGGCGGGCTCAACACGGCACGACTTCAGGATGGCCGGTTCCTCGAGGTTCGAAGGTGCACACCCGCGCGACGGCCTGGGCAGGAGGGATCAATCGCCGAGGTCCACGCGACGTTCTCGCATGAAGGCCGGTCTCGCCGCCGTCTTCTCGCGTCTGGGGGAACCGCGAATAGGCTCTGGGCACCTGGCCTGGGGACGGCAACTTGGGGTGCAACCAAGCAAATTTCTACTCGATTTCTCCACAGCCAAGCAATCGAACACGTCGCGTGTT